CTGCTGCTGCTGCCCCGGCTTCGCCTCCCCCTCCGCCTGCTGCACCAGCGGCGCCAGCAGCGGCTGCTGCGCCCTCTACCCCTCCCCCTGCGCGGGCAGAGGGCGCGCGCGTGTTTGCCAGCCCTGCTGCTCGCAAACTGGCGGCTGAGCACAAGGTGGGTTGGGAGGGGATGGGAGAGGGGGGTTTGGGATGGGTGGGGGGGGGGGGGGGAGGTGTAAGGGGTTGGGGCACGAGGGATGAGGGGAGGGGTCGAGCAGAAGGCGCGAGGGTGTTTGCCAGCCCTGCTGCGCGCAAACTGGCTGCTGAACACAAGGTGGGTTGGGAGGGGATGGGAGAAGGGGAATGGGGTGTGAGAGTGTGAGAATGACATTGGAGAAGAGAACGGATAGGGGGATGGGGTGTGAGTGAGAGTGAGAGTGTGACAGGGGGCAGTGAGCAGGGGAGTGTTTGAAAGGAAGCGTCCCCAATCCGTCCTCGCACCCATGTATGCTCCGCCATGCCAGGTGGACATGGCACTGGTGGCAGGGCCAGGTCCCAACGGCTGCGTGTTGAAAGAGGACGCAGGAGGCCTTCAGCGCGAGGTCCCAACGGCTGCAACGGACGTGGAGGCCTTCAGCGCGCAGCCCCGCCCCGCTGCTGCTGCTACCCCCTCTGCTGCAAGTCCCAGAGTCAACCAATAAATCCTCCCCATTCCGTCCTCCCTTCCGTGCTCCGCCATACCAGGTGGACATGGCGTTGGTGGCAGGGTCGGGTCCTAATGGCCGTGTGTTGAAGGAGGACGTGGAGGCCTTCCTGTCCCAGCCGCGCCCTGCCGCTGCTGCCCCCTCTGCTGTGCCTGCTGCTGCCGGTGCTCCCGCTGCTGCTCCTCCCGCCGCGGCCATGTCAGCCAGTGTGGACGAGCTCAGGAAGGTGAGGCGTAGGTACTTTCCTTTGGCACTGGTGCTGTTTGTAGTGTTGCTTCTCCTGGTGTTCCTGCTGCTGGTGCTGCTGCTGCTGATAGTGCCGCTGCTTCCGCTCCTGTTGCTGCTCCTCCGGCAACGGCCATGTCAGCCAGTGTGGACGAGCTCAGGAAGGTGAGCCTTGCACCTGTTGTACGCATTGGTGCTGCTGTTGGTGCTGCTGCTGGTTTTGGTGCTGCTGCTGCTGCCGGTGCTCCGGCTGCTGCTGCTCCTCCCGCAGCAGCCATGTCAGCCAGTGTGGACGAGCTCAGGAAGGTGAGGCGTAGGTACTTTCCTCGCAGCCCCCATCCCTGCTGCTGATCCCCCGGCTGCGCCCGCTGCTCCCACTGCTGCTGCTGCGCCTGCAGCGGCCATGTCAGTCAGTGCGGACTAGCTCAGGAAGGTGAGGCATGTCGCAGGTACATCCCTCACAGCCTCCACCCTGCTGCTGCCCCCAGCTACGCCTGTTGCTGCCGCTGCTCCCGGTGCCGGCGCTCCATCTTCTGCTGCTTCCATTTCTGTGCCGCCACTCGCTGCTCTATGTCTTTCCATGTCTGCTGCTTATTACCCCCCTTCCTCCCTCCACTCCCCCCTCTCCCCTCCCCCCCTCGTGTGTGGCAGCGAGTGGCGGAGCAGATGCAGCTGTCCATTCAGACCGTGCCACACTTCTACCTCTCGGCTGACGCTCCCCTTGATGCCGCCGCCAAGTGCGTCTCATGCACTCAGCATGCATGCACGTGCACACACACGCACACACACACACACATAATGACATGCGCTAACATTAAACTCATATTCACACACACACACCTGCTTGCCTGCACACAACCATACACATGTGCACACTCACTTTCTTGCCTACGTGCGCTCTAATTTGACCATTCTCTTTTTCCTAGCCCACGTAACTTGGTGACTTAGTTTTCTGCCAAATTTGTGTCGTCACACATATCATCTCTGTGCACCGCTGTGCATCTCTCTGCATCTCTGCATTTCACTGTCCATCACTCAGGGTGTTGGAGCAGCTGAATGCAGCATCTGATGTGCAGGTCACCTCCACCGCTCTACTCATCAAGGTATAAGGCACTCTCGGGCATGCCCCGTGCATGTGTGGTACATGTCCCATGCATGTGTGGTACATGTCCCGTGCATGTGTGGTACATGTCCCGTGCATGTGTGGTACATGTCCCGTGCATGTGTGGTACATGTCCCGTGCATGTGTGGTACATGTCCCGTGCATGTGTGGTACATGTCCCGTGCATGTGTGGTACATGTCCCGTGCATGTGTGGTACATGTCCTGTTCATGTGTGGTACATGTCCCATGCATGTCTTGTGCATGCGCTGCTATTTGCACGCCACACCATGCCCGCCTCCAGCTACACAAGCTTGATTTCTTCAACCCGTTCTCCTGCCTTGCACAACAACAGGCAGCAGCACTGGCTTCCAAGAAGGTTCCTGCATGCAACAGCTCCTGGGGTGGAGAGTTCATGCGCGAGTGAGTCACTTTTGAGTCGACTCATGAGTCACTCGCTGCCCGCCTGCATGAAGGTGCCTCACAGGCAGACCCCCTGCCTGCCTGCCTCTCTGTCTCTCTGCATGCAGCCATTCGTGTATCTCTGCCCACCATCCATCACAATGGAATATGGTGTGTGTGGCTCGTGCATGGCTGTTGGTATGTATGTCCCATGCATCACTAATCATGTGTGTGTCCCATGTGCATGTGCGTCCCCCATGCCTGTGTGTGCATGGCATGGCATGGCAGGTACTCCGATGTGAATGTGGCGATCGCTGTCTCCACACCTGACGGCATTTTGTACCCCGTCATCAAGGTAACGAGCTGTCATCATGTAACGCCGCGTAATGGTAACGCCGCGTAATGGTAACGCCACGTAATGGTAATGCCATGCTTTACCAGCCCTTTTCAGCTGCTCATGTCTTGTCTTCTCACCCATCCTGCACCCTGCACTCATGCCCCCTGCCCCCTGCCCCCTGCCCCCTGCACCATACTTGCTGCTGCGCCCCTGCAGGCGGCCAACACCAAGGGCCTGGCCCAGATCGCTTCGGAGATCCACCGCCTCTCCACTTCAGCCTTGGAGAAAACTCTCTCCGAAGCTGACCTCCAGGTTCGGAACTCTTTCGGTTTGAGCATGGTTGCAGGCTCGATGTCATGCGTGCGGAACAAGGGGTTATAATTGATTATTGAGGTGGGTTTTGAGAATGCCCGGGGGCAATACCTGTCAAGGTGATATCAGTGCATTGCATGGTGGGGAGAGGAGCACGTGGTGGGACGAGCTTTACAATTCAAAAGCACTGACCTGTTGGCGACGAGCTTCTTAAGATCAAAGACGTGTTTCAGAAGTCATGCCTTTCTTGCCACCCTCCTCCCCACGCTCACAGGGTGCGACCTTCACAGTGTCGGATGTGAGTGGAGCGGGCCTCAAGTCTCTGTCCGCCATCATCCACCCACCGCAGTCCTGCTTCCTCACCATCGGCGCTGGTGAGCATATCCGTGCCTCTCATCCACCCACTGTGCTTACTCTCAAACCGAATGTACTCACACTGCATGTGCTCACACCTCATTAACTGAACGACCGCTGCAATCATGCATCCCATGGTCACGCATGCTCTGTTCCTCACTCCCTTTTCAACCACTCGCATCTCCCCTCTGGCTGCCTGTCTGCTGCAGCACAAGAAAGGGTGGTGCCGGGAGCAGCAGAGGGGGAGTTTGCAGTGCAGCCCTTCACTACAGTCACTCTCAGCTGCGACCACCGTGTTGTCGACGGTACGTCATGCCTGGGCCTCTGATGGCCTCTTGTAGCATGGGGGTTGGGTGACTTTTGAGTCGACTCAAAAGTCGGCAGAGGGGGAGTTCGCAGTGCAGCCCATCGCCACAGTCACTCTCAGCTGTGTCACGTACCGCGTTGTCGACGGTACGTTGTGGGTGGTATATCTTGGATGGGCCTCTGATGGCATGTGGATTGGCCTCCGGCCATGAGTCAAGCCTCCATTCACTTAATTGCAATGAAAACTACGTCTCTTGCGAACGAGCTTTTGCAAGGACGAGTGTGTTGGGTGAACAGATCAACTGGGTCTTTCCTTATTCTTCTACTGATTCTCTGCTGTTCCCCCCTCTTCCATTGTGGTGTTGCAGGGGCGGTGGGAGCGCAATGGATGGGCGAGTTCAAGTCGTTGCTCTCCAACCCCATCACCTTGCTCCTCTAGTTACCAACCATTAGTAGATTCTTGCTCGTTACCTCATCGTCGCGTCGCCACTCCCTAGCTCGCTATATGTTTCCAAGTACCGGTGATGCAGAAATTGCTAGCAGCATATTGGTCCAGGTGCGGATGGTCTTAGAACATGTGGCTGACCAGTGCGTGCTGGTTCTCCTACTGAAGGAGTTAGGCAAGGAAAAGGTTAGAACAAATATTGTGTTCTGATCTAGTAAAAAAATGTTTGCATAGATGCTGGCGGATTTTATCAACTGTTATATCTGAAACGCGTCACTGCACAACAAGTCAACGCGTTTGGATGTGATCTCATCGCAACAACCATTCGAGTGCGGGAACCTGCCATGACTGACCAATGCAGCTGAACCTGCCTCCTCCCCATGCTTCCACCAACACTAAGCGGATTCAACACACCGCACCGCATCATCTCCCAACCTGGCCCAGCCTGCTGAATTCCCGCCTTACCTGCTGACTTCGTGCGACCCTTTCCTTCCCCCGCTTTCCATTCGTGCGACACACGCGTGGGTGAAGCGCGCCGAGCTTCTCACGCCAGAGGATCCTTCTCGGCATCCCCTGAGTCAATCAAAAGCCATTGCTTTATGGTACGGATCGAGGACCACCATTGAAGCGCCTCTTAGGTTGCTTGCCGCTAGGGGATCCTATAAGGTGCTTCACGTTTAGCGGCTGCTGACGCCGTGTCGAGTTCATTGCTTCTAGCGGACTAGCCTCTAGTGGCGTGGCTTCTAGCGGTGCAGCTTCTAGTGGTGGAGATTATAAAGCCGGATGCAGGATCCTAGTTAACGGCTAGTGGAGTCGATCCGACGGAGCCGCGCGCATGGCGGAGTGGCGCACGTCGACCCACTGCAGCCGTTGGATCTTCAGCGCCGCTGAGCTGGCGACGATGCGCGCCAAGAACAACCAGAGGGCCGTCGATGCCATTCAAAAGGTGCGCGACGTAGAGGCGTGCGCGAGGGAGAGGTGTGCGCGGGAAAGGGGTGCGCGTGGGAGAGGTGTGCGCGGGAAAGGGGTGCGCGAGGGAGAGTCGTAGTGTGCTGGCGAGTTACCTGTTTACCTTACGGATGAGAGTGGGAGGTGGGTGTGTGAAGCTGAGGTGGATGGAAGTTAACGGACAGAGAGTGGTGGGAGGGTAGAGATGGTGGCGTGGAATGGGAGTAGCCTTCTGAATGGGTTGGACGGGCTGGATGGGCTGGATGGGTTGTAGCCTTCTAAATTCTATTTTATTTACTGCTGCCTTTCCCATTCCCTTCATCCCTTCATGTCCTTTTTGTGATTTCCCTTCCTCCGACACGCGGTCAACCCCTGGTCAACGCTGGTCAACGCGCTCTGCTTGTTCCCACCCTGCGTCCACCAGCACGGCCACAGCAGAGTGGAACCGTCGGCCAATCCCGCCCTGGTTGATTCCAGGGGCCAATCAGACGCCGCCACGTCAGCTGACGGCCACACCACAGCAGCAGCAGCGGGAAGAGGGGCGGACGGGGAAGGCAATCAGGGGGTAGGGCAGGCGGAAGCAGGAGAAGGAAGGACAGGGGAAAGTGGAGGAGGGAGCAATGGGGGGGAAGGGGCAAATGGGGCGGGTGGGGAGGTGCCGCGGCCGAAGGCGTTGAGTGAGGAGGAGGAGAGGGTGATGTGTCGGTACTACGAGGGCAAGATCCAAGAAGTGTGCGCCGCCTTCCGCTTCCCCTACAAGATCTACGTGCGTTGCTCTGCTGCTGGTTTGTGAGATTCATGCGCGTTGCAAGCAAGCTATCTGCTTTCTGAGATCCGCGGGCATGCCTGCCTGGCCCATTGCGGTCTAAGTGTTTGTGCAGGTTTTTCTATGGTAGGGTGAGGCGATTTGGTGGTGCACATCAGTGTTTGTGCAGGTTTTTCTTACGACCCTTCATTATCCCGCACAATACTCTTTATCTGATGCAGTGCCTGTCGTGCCTGCCACCCATCTGCCCCTGCCACGCCACCCATCTGTACCCGTTACAGTCCACCTCACTACAGTACTTCAAGCGCTTCTTCCTCATGTGCTCTGTCATGGAGCACGATCCCAAAAGCATCATGTGAGTTTTGGGTAGTGGGGGCTTTATATGAGCACCAAGTAAGGTCTCAGTGCTTCGTGTGAGGGTTAGGGCTTGCATGGTTGACAACATTCGTGGTCTCTGTTATTCCACCTGTGCTCCCGTTCCCCGCATCCTCTCTCTCCCCCACTTCCTCCCCGCACGTGCCAGGTTCACAGCCATCTACATAGCGTGCAACGGGACGAGGTTTACGTGTCGGCGGAGGAGACATTTGAGGCGAACTCACAAGGTGCCCCCACCCTCACCATCCTTTCCTCACCATCTTTCCTCCTCACTCTCTGCAGGCTAACAGCCATCTACATAGCGTGCAAGGTGGACGAGGTGCATGTATCAGCGGAGGAGTTTGGGAGGGGCATAGGGCAGGACCCGCAGGTGGTGCTGGGCTGCGAGGTGCACGTGCTGCAGACGCTCAAGTTCGACCTCATCTGTTATGGGCCTTACCGGGCGATCGACGGCTTCCTGCTGCAGCTGGAGCAGGTGAGATCAGTGCTGCAGATAGGCCGTGCGGGGTGCACGGCTGTGCGGCCGTGTGAGATGTGTGCTCCGTATGCATTCAGCCAGCCAGGACACACGTACAGTGATGCATGGCATGCCAAGACGCATTCCAGATCCTTGCTGCTGCTCCTCCAGTCTCACATGTTCCATCCCCTCACGCTGCTGATGTTGCTCTTTCCCTCGCTTCCCTCCCTCCCCCTTTCTAAATCCAAATCTGGCCTCCCGTCAAAGCTGCTAGGGGAGCCATTCGCGTCTCAGCCTGAGGATGTGAAGACGCGAACCATCCAGGCAAGTGCTGTGGGCATGGGCCATGGGGCATCCTGCCATGGTGTATGGGGCATGGATTATGGGCATGGGGCATGGAGCATGGGGCATGGGGCATGGGGCATGGGGCATGGGGCATGGGGCATGGGGCATGGGGCATGGGGTAGAGGGTATGGCTGGGTCATGCAATTATGGATTGTTGGCAGCCAGTTCGTCTGACGTTGAATGAGGCAAAGCCCTGCCCTGGTACTCGTTCTTTGTCAAATTCCTTCTTCCCCTCCTTTACTCCCTCTCCTTATGTACTTGCATTCGCTCTTTCATCCTGTGCTTCCTCTACTATTCCCTCCATCCTCTCTCCCCTTTCTCTCCACCCCACGCTGCCTTCAGGCCCTTACACATGGGGCATACGCAGCAGTGGGATCGATATTCCTCACAGATGCACCGCTGCTCTTCCCTCCAGGGTAAGTCTCTCCTCTCCTCTCCTCTCCTCTCCTCTCCTCTCCTCTCCCCCTTCCACGTGAAAGAAGAGTGTTTTTTAGGCGTCTCAGAAACTCTCTTCATTCATGTGTCCCATGCTTGCTCCTTCTCCCCCTTCTCTCCCTCCACCCCACTCCACCCCACTCCACCGCACTCCACCCCTGGCCAGGCAGCTGGCGCTAGCAGCCATGAAGCTCGCCAACAACGCCTCCTCCACCATCCCCAACTTCCAAAGGTGCTCCTCCCACCACACCACCGTGCCGCATCCAGACTGTTCCATGGGGCATGGGAATGATCATGGGTGATCATGTGCATGGACTGATCATGGGTGGCATGGCGTCCTTTCCTTTCATACCCAGTAGACCATAACACGTGCTTCTCTCCCCTCCCTTCCACGCGCGCTCGCCTCTCTTCTACATCCTCACTCATCCCCTGCCGCCGTCTCTCATCATCCCTCACTCTCACTCCCACCACAACCCTCCTCCTCCCATGCCTGTCCCCTCCAATCGCCCTGCCTCCAGTTTTCTTGACTCGGTGGTAGCTGCATCGCCCCCTGCCAAGGCAGCACCAGGGAAGGTGCTAGGGTCAGGGCAGGGGCATGTGGGGGCGGAGCTGCTGGCTGCTGTGAAGGCAGTAGAGACCATGGTGAGAGGTGGTGAGAGGTGGAGAGCATGGTGAGAGCATGCCGAGAGAATTAATTGCATGTCAGTCGATTTTGTGCCAGTTGCTCACAAATCAATTACTCACAATCCAATAACTCACAAGCCATTCACTTTAACTCTCCCCACTCTCTTGATCGCAAAACGACTCAACAGGTGAAGGCATGTGGTCACTCACATGCCAATCGTTTTCACCTCTCCCCACTCCATTAATCACACAATGACTCGGCACGTGAAAGCATCCGGGCCGCTACCAGCAGCAGATGTGGTGAAACGTATCGACAGGAAGCTCAAATACTGCCCCCACTCTCCCCACTCTCCCCACTCTCCCCGCGCTCCCCACTCTCCCCACTCTCCCCGCGCTCCCCACTCTCCCCACTCTCCCCGCGCTCCCCACTCTCCCCACTCTCCCCGCGCTCCCCACTCTCCCCACTCTCCCCGCGCTCCCCACTCTCCCCACTCTCCCCGCGCTCCCCACTCTCCCCACTCTCCCCGCGCTCCCCACTCTCCCCACTCTCCCCGCGCTCCCCACTCTCCCCACTCTCCCCGCGCTCCCCACTCTCCCCACTCTCCCCGCGCTCCCCACTCTCCCCACTCTCCCCGCGCTCCCCACTCTCCCCACTCTCCCCGCGCTCCCCACTCTCCCCACTCTCCCGCGCTCCCCACTCTCCCCACTCTCCCCGCGCTCCCCACTCTCCCCACTCTCCCCGCGCTCCCCACTCTCCCCACTCTCCCCGCGCTCCCCACTCTCCCCACTCTCCCCACGCTCCCCACTCTCCCCACTCTCCCCGCGCTCCCCACTCTCCCCACTCTCCCCGCGCTCCCCACTCTCCCCACTCTCCCCGCGCTCCCCACTCTCCCCACTCTCCCCGCGCTCCCCACTCTCCCCACTCTCCCCGCGCTCCCCACTCTCCCCACTCTCCCCGCGCTCCCCACTCTCCCCACTCTCCCCGCGCTCCCCACTCTCCCCACTCTCCCCGCGCTCCCCACTCTCCCCACTCTCCCCGTGCTCCCCACTTCCCCCGATTGCGCATCAACAGGTGAAGGCGTCTGGGCCGCTACCAGCAGCAGATGTGGTGAAGCGTATCGACAGGAAGCTCAAGTACTGCCGCAACCCCTCCCTCATGCTGCACGAGTGAGTCCCCACCTAGGAATGGGTAGTTAGTTACCTTTACCCACCTGGGAGAACAGCATGTTCCTGGGAGAACACCTATGAACCTGGGAGAACACCTATGAACCCCGTCTGGATGAACTCTTCGCCATTGGCATTTCTTTCACTTCCATGCTCCACTGCCTCCCTGGCTGGCTCCCCTCTGCCTCTCTCCCCCTCTCACCCTTCCCCTCTCACCCCCCCCCCTCTCCCCCTCTCCCTCTGCGCATGCCCACCAGTCGCAAGGAGCGCAAGGAGAGGAGCAAGTCCAAGCGGGCACGCTTCTCACTTCCATACTCCTCTGCCTCGCTCTCTCCGCTCTCACTCTTTCCCCCTTCCACTTTCCCCAACACCCTGCATGCCCATCAGTCGCAAGGAGCGCAAGGAGTGGAGCAAGTCCAAGCGGGCATCACACAGCGTTGCCCTCACTGCCTCCCCACTTTCCCCCACTCTTCCTCACCTCCTCTCTCCCTCTCTTCGTCCCCCCCTGCACCCCCCTCTGCATATCCCCACCAGTCGAAAGGAGCGCAAGGAGAGGAGCAAGTCCAAGCGGGCGTCTCACAGCGTTGCCCTCACTGCCGCCCCGCCTAGACGGAACCTGTGCCGTTTGCACTCTTCTCAGTTCCCTCCCCCTCTCCATGTGCACCCCCCTCTGCATATCCCCCCCTTCCTCCCCATATCCCCATCAGTCGAAAGGAGCGAAAGGAGAGGAGCAAGTCCAAGCGGGCATCACACAGCGTTGCGCTCACTGCCGCCCCGCCTGTTACCTCCTCCCCCCTGTAAGAGCCGTCCGCCCTGTAAGCTGCGCTCTCTGTAAACTGCTTCTCTGCCTGTCTGCATGCCCACATGTCCGCATGCCCACATGTCCGCATGCCCTCATGCTCACATGCTCACATGATCACATGATCCCATCCCATACTGCCATGCTCACATGCTGGTGTGGTCAACAGGGACGATGCAGCGGCCCGCAATGCCAAGCGGAGGCGAAGCACAAGCACTCTTCCACAGGGCACATAGCAACCCTAGCTGTGTCTCAGAGCACATACCATAGCACCACACAGTCACATCTGTCTCTCTTCCAACACTGCAGGGTGATCCTGCATTCCATATTCACGATTAGGGGCAGTTTTAGCTGGCACTGCATAGATAACAAACACTTAGATTTGCCTTCAATTGGTTTGATATCTCTGTGAATCAGTAAATGTCGCATGAAGGGCTATGAATCACTACGGCGCATCGCATCTAAGAACTAGCCTTTGCTTTTGACTTGGGCCTTGTTCCCTGATTATGCTACAGGTCTACCTTCAACCCATCGTTACTACTGAACCCTAATAGCACAGCATTTTCTATCACTGCTGCTGCCGATCTAAAACCACCAAACAGACCGAGAGACGCAGCCTGTTGCCGTGCAACAGCACAACTATGCATGTCTCAGCTGCCTGCATAGACGTTGGACCCCGTGCAGTCATCAACCCCACTCCCTGCACACACGCTCCCTGCACCACCTTTCTGCTCTTCCTCCGCACCCCCCGAGACTGCAACTGCACCACTCATCCTCGCCCAATCGCTGCTTCCATCCACCATCCCAGGCCCACAACCCGCCTCCGCGCCTCCACACACCTCCCTGCCTTCCCTTGCTTCCTCCAACGAGACTGCTGCGGCAACCTGCTGCTGAAATAAGGGTGGGCCTTCATGCCCCTCAGCCTTCTCCTGTCCCTCCTCCCCGTTCTTCCCCACACATGCCCACCCACCTTCCCTTGCTTCGTCCAACAAGCCTGGCGCCGCCAACTGCGGCTGCAACGGAGTTGGCCCTGTGTGCTCCTCAGCCTTCTCCTGCCCCTCCTCCCGGTTCTCCCCTTCCCCAGCACAGCCCTCCTCTGTCATGTCAGAAGCTCCACTCTCTGCCTCCCCATTCCCAGGCTGCTGATTCCTAAGATCCCCATTCTCACAAGTAGCAGCAGCGCTAGCAGTAGCAGCGGCGGCATCACCTCTGGAATCGTAGTTTCCACTGGTAGCAACCATATCTCCTTGACAGTTGGCAGCAGAGCCAGCAGCATCAGAAGCAGCAGCAGCAGATGCACCAGAAGTAGCACTAATACTAGAATCAGGAGCACTATCAGCAGCTGGGACTGCAACGTCAGCACCGGGAGCATTGGCACCATCAACAGCATCAGCTGCAGCAGCAGGAGCACCACCATCATCAGCAGCAGCAGAAGCATCAGCAGTAAGAGCAGAAGCATCAGTACCAGCAGCACCATCAGCCCCATCAGCAGGATCAGTGGCAGCAGCATCAGTGGCGGAAACATCAGCACCAGCAGCACCATGAGCACTATGAACAGCAGGGACAAGAGAGGCTGCACTCCTCAGAAGCATGTGCGTATCCACACCATCAACACCATGCCCATCCGACAGACCCCCATGCAGGTGCATGTGCTCATGCATCAACGCCGCATGCTCCTCCGCCGACATCACATGCTGCCCTCCAGCCAGCAGCACATGCTCTCCCCCCTCGGGCAACACATGCCCCCCCTCAGGAAATGCATGGTGCGCACAAACATTGGTGCTGGCACGGTGCAGGTGGAGGTGTTCGTAGTAGAGCAGCAGGTGGTGCAGCATCTCGTTCTCGCGCTCCACTGCTGCCTTCCCCGCCACCAGCTGCGCCTTCTCCTGCAGCAGCACTCCCAGCTGCTCGTGCAGCTGCGGGCATCCGTGGGCAAGAGAGGGGGACATAAAGGGGCATAATGGAAAAGGAAGTCAGCAGACAGCAAGGAGAAGAAGGGGTATACTTGTAGCATCTCGTTCTCGCGCTCCACTGCCGCCTTCCCCGCCACCAGCTGCGCCTTCTCCTGCAGCAGCACTCCCAGCTGCTCGTGCAGCTGTAGCCGATGGGGGCCAGGAGGGGGACATAAGGACAAGGAACATTGGGGCCCGGCATTCTGTGAACTTTCCTGCAACAGCATGCCTCATGGTTGTACAGGTGAGGGCACGCAAGACCAGGATTGGAACATTACGGGAAGGAAAAGGGGGCATTTCAACCAACCCTTGACTCATCATATCTTCAAGTTCAGAGTGATGGTGGTGGTGATGTGTGTCCACCCCTCCCTCCCCCTCCACCCCCCCTTCCGCCTCACGCTCTCCCATCCCCTCCCCCTTCCCTCCCTCCCTCGCCGCCTCTCCAGCAGCCAGCGCCGCTCTGAGCCGCTCATTCTCCTCCTCCACCGCTCTGCACCGCTCTCGAGCGTCCATGGCGTCTCTCCGAGCTGCCTTGAGATCCGCCTGAAGCTGCTTGGCCCGCATGGCCATGGCTGTCGCCACCTGGTGGGGGGGGGGGGGGGGGGGGGGGGGTAGAGGGGTGGGGGGGAGAAGGGATGAGATGAGAGATGCTGAAGAAGAGGTCCGCCTGAAGCTGCTTGGCCCGCATGGCCATGGCTGTCGCCACCTGCAGGCATGACATGGGTGGAGGAAGGGGTGGAGGGATGAGATGACGGGGAGGAGGAGCGATGAGAGGAGTGATGTTAGAGTGAGTAACTTCGCCCACGTGGTCATGTAACTCCCTCCCAAGGTGGCTTTGCATGCATGCAGCACTCACAATCCTGCCCAGTTCCCATTGCAGCGGAGGACTCACATTTCTGGACGCCACGAGCTGTGTCTCCTTAGGCACATGCACGGCCGCCTCACTCGCCCTCTTCACCCCCTCCTCTCTCCCCCCGTGCATCTCCCTCACTTTCGGTAACCGCATTAGCAGATCATCTTCGGCTGCCAGCTCAGCACCTGACGTGGCGGCTAATGTAGCGGCTGACGTGGCAGCTGACGTGGCAGCTGGGCCAGCGGACGCATGGCCGGGAGCTCGAGGGGGAGGGGAGGCAAGAGGCTCGTCAGGCCGTGCAGCAAGGGAGGGCGGCGAGCCAGGGGAAGCGGGAGAGACAAGGGCGGGAGGAGAGGCGAGTGAAGCAGGAGAGACGAGGGAGGCAGCAGCTTCTGTATCCCATACTTCCCCCTCTCGTCCCTGCATCCGTTGCTCTACAGGCGCCCCCACCCCACTATGCTCCTCAACCATACCACTACTGATTCGCTCTGACTCTTGAACTGCTGCTGCGCCTTCTACTACTGCAACTGCTCCTGCTAATACTGTCCCTGCTGCGGCTGCCCCTGCTACTACTGGTCCTGCTGCTGCTGCTTCTGCTGCTGCTCCTGTGACCACTGCTGTCACTGCCTGTGTGGGTACCACTGCATCTGTTTGTGCCTCCACGGCCTTTGCTGCGCCCACACCTGTTGCTCTAGCTGCACCCACCACTGTTTCAGCTATAGTCACCCCCCCTGCTTCCGGAACTACCCTCTGCGCCGTAGCTGCTGCTCCTCCTCCTCCTCTTCCTCCTCTTGCTCCTCCTGCTCCTGCCACTGCTGCTCCTGCCGCTGCTGCTGCTGCTTCTCCTGCTACTACTCCCCCTCCGCCTGCCGACCCCACAGCAGCATCAGAACCCCTGTCAGCCCCCCTCGACTGCACGAGGCGGGGGCGCGCGTCTCTGGTGGTCGCTCTGGGCGCGGATAGCCTGCCTGACGCCCCAGGCTTGGTGCCAAGTGCTGGCTTTCTGGGCGCAGGGTGGTCGTCCACCGCCACCTGCACCACCTTGCCTATGCCCTCCTGCAGTCACGTTTAGTGGGGGGGAGCCGGAAGGGATTGGGGGGGGAGTGGGGGGGTTTATTGGGTCCCAAGAAAGGTTGGTCGTCCACCGCCACCTGCACCACCTTGCCTATGCCCTCCTGCAGTCACGTTTAGTGGGGGGGAGCCGGAAGGGATTGGGGGGGGAGTGGGGGGGTTTATTGGGTCCCAAGAAAGGGTGGTCGTCCACCGCCACCTGCACCACCTTGCCTATGCCCTCCTGCAGTCACGTTTAGTGGGGGGGAGCCGGAAGGGATTGGGGGGGGAGTGGGGGGGTTTATTGGGTCCCAAGAAAGGGTGGTCGTCCACCGCCACCTGCACCACCTTGCCTATGCCCTCCTGCAGTCACGTTTAGTGGGGGGGAGCCGGAAGGGATTGGGGGGGGAGTGGGGGGGTTTATTGGGTCCCAAGAAAGGGTGGTCGTCCACCGCCACCTGCACCACCTTGCCTATGCCCTCCTGCAGTCACGTTTAGTGGGGGGGAGCCGGAAGGGATTGGGGGGGGAGTGGGGGGGTTTATTGGGTCCCAAGAAAGGGTGGTCGTCCACCGCCACCTGCACCACCTTGCCTATGCCCTCCTGCCGCCACGCACAGCGGGAGGAGGGTATGGCAGGGTAGGAGGGAGGTACGGGAGGAGGGGGTGGCAGTGGGGGTTTTGAGACACCTTAGAGAAAGGATGGTCTTCCACGGTTACCTGCACCACCTTGCCTATGCCTGCCGCCGCGTATGGTGGGAGGGAGGGAGGGAGAGGAGGAAAGAAAGGGGAGGCGGGCTGTTTGAAGACAGAACGTGGAGGGGGGAGGAGGGGATGGGATGGGGAGGGGGTGTGTGCGCGTGTGTGTGTGCATGCGTGTGCGCTTCTGCGTCAGTAGTGGGGCAGCTTACATCGAGAGCGGAGCCAAGGGTGTCACCGAGCAGGGAGATAGAGTTGATAATGGCATCCAATCCTCCCTGCACAAATCCACCACCACCGCCTCCTCCGCCTCCTCCGCTCTTCGAACCCCCTGTTATTGATCCAGCTGCCGTGCGACCTGACATCCCACCCCCTGCTCCTGCTCCTGCTGCTCCTCCTCCTGCTCCTGCTGCTGCACCAGCAGGCTTCGAATTCCCGGCTCCTCGCTTCCCTGCTCCCGTTCCACCTGCTGCCATCCCTGCCGTACGTTCTGCTCCTGCAGATCTTGCGGTTCCAGTACTTCGTGCCTGCGTGGGCTTCGAGCCTCCAGCATGCTTGCCGCTCCCCGGCTGTGTTTGCGAGGGGCTCGTCTTGCCGCTCGCCCTCCGCGGGCTGCTGGATACACCGCTGCTCACAACAGGTTTCCCCAGGAGATCCTGGCATGAACGAGACGGACAGAGGAGGTCACGATCGGGACATAGAGACTGCCAATAACGAAAAACAGACGCAAGGAAAAGACGGAGATACGCGAGAAACAGCGGCTCGACCAGAAGCTCTCCTGCGCCGCCGGGATCGGAGCTTCCGCCTTCCGCCTCGCACTCACCGACCGATCCATCCTGTCGTGCCCGACTCTGGCTGGAAAACCGACGAGATTATTTGCAGTGCAGGCTACAGCAGACGCAAGAGGCTCAGCAGGTGTGCCTGCGTGTTGCTACAGTTCCTACGGATGCGCTACAGTTGCTGGAGGAAATGCTTGTCGGGTTGATTGATAACATCAACGATAACCGTGAATTGTGATTCGAAGGCCCTAACCTAATGCCATCGCTCGCTAGAATCAGCTGTTCTCAGGTACACAACCAGCAGATCCATGTATAGGAACATAAGCCTTCATAATCGTTCGGTGGTTACAAACCTCACTGTATTTACCCATCGCAATGATCCAGCTGGTGGAGAAGCAGAATTCTCGAGACAAGAGAAGCGTGATGTAGGTGGCTGTGTGCATTCGACGACGACCAAATGGGAAGCAAGATGTGCGCGCAAGAGTGAAGGGTCGAGGTGTGCAATACCGTCAGCAATGGGGCATAACTGTTCAGCAGCTACGAACCCTTTTAGAACACTACGGAACTTACTCAAACGCACTGAATACCTCCCCGATGGAATGTAATATTTCTGGATGACAACATCGAGGTTTGGGGGGAATGGGGAACCTGCACAACTAGGGGTGACTGATGGAGGGAAATGCTGCGAGTGGCTGGAAAATGTTGTCAGGCGGAAATGGAGGGACAGGACGGGCGGTTGTTGGGAACCAAGCAGACGCAACTAGTAATAATAGTGATACGGATAGATGCACAGTTAAGTATAGCGAACAGATCCCAAAACGCGGAAAGTAGTAAAAGTGATACGGATAGGTGCACAAGTAAGTGTAGCCCGTAACTATTCTTTGTAGCTTCTTGTGGAATAGGCTGTTGGTGAGTACGTATGGCTACGTGGAAAGTCACACTTGTTTCCACGTGTCGGCGGACGGTTCATACTAGGCCTGGTTTGCCTCTCGATTCGGTTTGCTGTCGGTGGTGCTGTAGGTTACTCTAGTCGCTTGTCGTCAGTGCAACGAAACGCCCTGCCAAGCTGTAAATCGTTCAACGAAGTCGCGACTGTCGCTCCACCCCTCCGTCACCGAAAACAGCCGAACACAATCCAGCAACAGACAAAAGTACTGCCCGAATCCAGCGTGTCCGACTGACTGTTGCGGAGGGGAAGGTGAAGTGAGTGAGAGTCAAGGCTCCGACGCTCCACGCAACATTGTGCAAATGCGATGCGTCGGCGTGCGGCCCGACCAAAATTACAAGCAAGGTCCATTCCGAAATTCCCTTACCCCTCTCCCCCTCTCCCCCTCTCCCCCCTCTTCCCCCTCTCTCCCCTCTTCCCCCTCGTCCTCATTGTCCTCCTCGTCTCCCCCCCCCCCCTCCCCCCCCCCCCAACCCAGGGTCACGCAAGAGGGGTTCTGCGGGGGGAAATTGTGCCTGCTCCAGCTGCTGGGGCAATGGGAATCCCAGATTCGCGAGCAGAGGAGGTGGAAGCAGGAGCGGAATCAGAAGCAACCACGAAGCCGACAGCTTGACGCAAGCAGGAAGCTGACATCTACTTACATTTATCTGCTTGTTGATGTTCTCTTGTTCTGACAGGCAATATTCAATATGAGCTTATTCTGAAGCTGTGTGACCCTAGAAGAATAAGGTGCATTTTGTGCTAGACGATTTAGTGTTTAAAATGGGAAACAGTGATCTTATTATCATGTGCAGCGTACACTAGTTTATACTGCTTGTACGTCACATTTTATAAGTTTGATCCGAGCCTATTGTGAAATTCTATGGAAGTGGCTGGGTTATTAACGGAGAAAAACATTTGAATAATAATTATACAGTCCCGTATTAGTAACCTGTAATTCGAATTAATGTAGTGTACTGCAGGAGTGTACTATTCGGATTAATGTTCGCGTCGCGATCGACGGTGGCGTTTGATTGGCTCCAGAAACGTGGGAGCGGAATCATCGTGGTGTCATGGCGGTTTCCTGTAGGTTACCTCTGTGGGTAACCTTGAGGTCACAACGAACTTGGAGGTGACCTCGAGGACTCCTAGATGGAGTCCTTTGGGTTACCCACAGCGAGGTAACCTGGGGGAATCCTCGAGGTAGGATTTTGCGAGCCTGATTTTTGGGATGAGTAGAGGGGATCCACGTGGCCAACTCTGGAGCCTTATCCGAGAATCCGCACATGCCACGTCAGACGCAGCGCCGTTAAACCTCCTCCCTCGATATCCCTCCCACCAGAAACTCCTTAACTCCGCCGCTCCCCGCTTCCACCCCGCACCCCCTTTCCCGTCCCCCGGCGACGCGCTCCCCCGCCCCCTTCTCGCCGGGAGCGGGATTTCCGCACTCCCCCGGCGCCCAGTCTCCGCCGCCCCTAGCAATAGCGGTATTTCCCGCGCACCCGTTCAAGCGCCGCGCGGTCGAGGGGCCTTCGCCGCCCCTTTCCCCCCTCCCCCGGCTCAACGAGAGCCATCGCTCCCCGCTTTCCTCGCCGGCTTCCGCGGTCCATGGACTCCGTGCTGCGCCTCTTAGCCCTTGCGCGGGGGAAGCTGAAGGAGCGGGAGGAGGGATTCGGGAAGGTGGGGGAAGTTGGGGAGGCAGGGGAGGTGCGGGAGCGCAATCCAGACCGCACGATGGTTCCGCGAGCGCAGTCGCAGGATCTTTCGCATCTCCCGCACCGGACACCAGTGTAGTTTGGCCGCCGAATGCGCCACGCGGCGCCCAGATCCGCGGATCTTCTGCGCCGTCAGGCGCAAGAAAGTCGGAACCTTTGAGTCCTTCTTCAGGCGCGCGGGAGCAGGGGATGCCGCTTCCGCGTGCGCAAGATCGGGAGCGGTGGGTGGGCGGAAAGTCCTTAGCTTCCCCGCAACCCCGCGATGGCCCCGTCAGCACAGTGACGCTTGAGTGGACTCAGAAGCCGCCTTCCCCGCGATCCCGCGATGTTCCCCCCCGCGCCGCGACTCTCTCAAGCGCGCTCCTTGCGCGCATCGACGCGATCTTCCTGAGCAAACGGAGCAAGGAGCGCGCGGAAGCCAAGGCACAGACGCGGCTGCGAGCAGCGGTGGGCGGCGGGTCGAAGCGGCGCGGGCAGGCTGACTCCGCCGCCGCAGCCGCCGCTGCAGCAGTAGCAACAGCGGGGAAACAGGAAGTTCTTGGCACGTCGGACAAGAGAGGAGGAAAGACCGCGATTGTGTGGGAAGGGGCGGGTCCAAAGGCGCGGCGGTCACTGTCACTGGACGGCGCGGGGGCAAACCGCGGGGGGAAGGGAGTTACGGCGCTGGGAGGGGGAGGAGACGTGAAGGCGGAACCTGAGGTCTGGGAGATTGTTTGGGGAGGTTTAACTGTGGAGAGTGGAGGGAGTGGGGGGAGAGGCGGAAGTGGGGGGAGTGGCGGAAGTGGGGGGAGCGGCGGAAGGGGGGGGAGCGGGGGAAGTGGGGGGAGTGGGGGAACAGGAGGAAGTGGGGGAAGTGGAGGGGTGAGTGCTACAGTATCTGGTGGCAGCAGTGGGATTGACGGCGAGGTGGCAACGCGCACCGCTCTGCACTCTCCTGCTACCGCTGCTAACGCCTTTGCTGCTGCTGCTGCATCGCTCACTGCTGGGGCAAGCACCCAAACGGCAACAACAACAGCAGCGGCAGCAGCAGCAGCAGCAGCAAAAACGGCAGACGCACAGGCGAACCGGCAGGCAGTGGGCGACAATAGAGTTGAGAGTGGCCTTGGAAGCGAGTCTGGCTTTGCCCCTGCGACCGCCAACAGCAACAACAACGGCAGCAACAACGCTATGGTGCCGGCCCATGATGCACAGCAGCAGCAGCAGCAGCAGCAGCAGCAGCAGCAACCCGCGTGGATGATGGTGGCCGGCACGCTCACTCGCGCTGCTGTTGTCGTCCCCATGCCCGGTAGCACTGCCATGCCTGCTCCGTGGCTCCTCCTTCACTCACTCTCACGCACACCCCCCCTGTACTCGCATCGCCGCTCTCACTGCTGCCAGCAGCTGCCACTTGCGGAGGAGGTGCAGCAGGCATAGCAGCATCAGTCCTGCCATTGAAACAGCCCTTTCACGACCCCACCCGCGACCCCTCTTCAAACATCCATCAACAGCTAACTTCTTCTCCTCTGCCTCCTCCTCCTACTGCTCTCTCCACCGCCACCCCTTCTGCTCCCCCTGCCACTCCCCCTTATCCTCCCCCTCCCTCTCCCCTTTCTCTTGCCCCCACTGCTGCCCCTCCCGCTAACCCCCCTGCTCCATCCGCGCGCCACCCCCCCCCTCACCGCTCCGTTCCCCCCCACCACCCTCATCCCCCGCACCATCCCCACCACCATAACCACCCCCGCGTGTGGTACCGGGGGGTGCGGCAGCGGCGGTGGGGGCGGTGGGTGACAGAAATCCGCGAGCCCACCACGCGCACGCGCATCTGGCTCGGCTCCTACGATAACGCCGAGGAAGCCGCCCGCGTGTACGACATGGCCGCCCGGCTGCTCAAGGGCCGGGCGGCGAGGCTTAACTTTCCCCACAGCGTGCAGCCAGTGGCGGTCCCTCGGGGGATTGCGGATGCCCTTATGCGGGCTAGCCGGGCAGCAGCGGAGGCTGGCGGGGGGGAGGGTGGTGCGGGTGGTGTTGACGATGGGGAGGGCGGTGCGGGTGGCGGTATGGATGATTTGCAGGGTGGTCGGGATGGTGTGGACGATGGGCATGGTAGGGATGGGGATGGGGATGGTGGTGGTGATGGGGATGGTGATGGGGATTGGGGCATCAGTGGTGGGTGCGGTGGTGGTGTGATGGGGATGGTGATGGGGATGGACGTGGTTGGTGCAGAGGCAGTGGGGGAGGGTGAGGCGGGCGCAGAGGCACAGGAGGTGAAGGCGTGGAGTGGTGAGAAGATGGAGTGTGGCTCGGAGCAGGTGCAGCAGCAGCAGAGCATGGTGCTTCAGCATGCCGGGCAACCACGAGCCGGCCTACAGGAGCATCACTATTATCATCAACAGCAGCAACAGCAGCAGGAGCAGCAGCAGCAGCAGCAGCAGCAGGCGAGCAGTTTGGCACCTGAGAATCCACCTGGCAGCCAGGCGCCATCATGGGAGGAGACCCTGAGAGACCTGGGCCTGGACCCACCTCTTCCACCTGCGGCCCCTCCCCTTTCCTCCGCCCCCACTGCACCTGCTCAGCCCCTCTCTGCTGCACCCACCACTCTCCACCACTCTTCACCACCAGCACCACCACCTTGTGTAACCCCATCTCGCTCCTCCAGTACGCCCCCTCTTCCCCTCCTGCGCATGCCCCTATCGCTGCTCGCCTCCCCACGTGCCTCCACCCACACCCCTCCTTGTCGGTCAGGCAGCCCCCTGCTACACCTCCCGCCCTCTTTCCCTGCTGCTCGCTCCACCTCCGTGCGTGCTGCGACCACCACAGCTACTACAGCACCAGCACCTGCCACTACGCCCACTCCTCCTGCCATCTCCCAACCCCTCTCGCCGCTCCCGTGCACCAATCCCAATGATCAGTCGGATCAGACTGACCAAAACAGCCAGATGGAGCGGATGGTCCAGATCGAACGAGCAGACCGGATGGAACGGACGGACCAGATGGAGCGGATGGATGTCCCCTTAGAGCCCTTCACGCTGGAGCTTCCCCAAGTGCACTCCCACACGTCCACCGCCACCACTGTCACCAGCGCTACTGGTGGTAACACGGTTACCACTACAGGCACCACCAGCGGCACTGCCACTACCACGGCTTCCGATTGGTCGGCGAACGTTCTTGTCGACTCCAATGATTCCTCCATGCAGATCTTCGGGCAGGCAATGAATGTGTTCTGCCCGAACCACCAGTCGCCTTCTGAAGTTTCTTGGAATTCTCCAACCGAACCATCTGTCCGAACCTCGCTCCACCAAGCCGCTCTCTCTCGTCCGGCAACTGTCCCAGCCAGTCGTCCAGCCGTTCGCGCTGCCGAACCTCCTCCTCTTGTCCTCCCACCCTCGCTAGATGCCCTGTCATTGGCCAGCCTCAGTGCCGAACCTTTGTTGTTGCCAACCCTCCAGGAGAGGTTCGGGGGAGGTTTGGAGGACGAGGGGGTGACAGGGGATGAGGGGTGGTTCTTGTGGCCTGACCTGTAAGGTATGGATGGCGTTGGTGCTGCATGCAACCACCTCCTGATGTTGTCTCACAGTTGAGCTGTATGGCGGACTTTGATGTTGCGGGTTTCAAGACGCCACCTGATGGCCACACCCCATAATTTCCTATGTTTGACAGAGACAGCCACCGCACTTGCCCAAACATGCTGCCGTGTTCCACGTGTCCAATTTCCCCGTGATGCTTCTGATTCCATCTGAGGCGCCACGTTGTCTTGTAAAGGATTCCCACGGGCTCGCGAGCACGAGGACCGTTATGGACCGGCAGGATTTTTGGGCAGGATGTCAACACTTTAGTTTGATTTTCTCCTACGACAAGTGGTGTAGTGTGCATATTTTAATCCGTTAATGTTCCCGAAACACACACGGGATCCATTTTGTATAATTTCAGCTTATCCTAGTGGATAAACGTGCTAGGTACGTACTTGATCTACTTGCACGAAAAATTGTGTTCGAAATGTGGCCAGACGTGCACATCTATTCTGCACTTCCAGCTACTCCTGTTCAGAACTAATATAGTGAATGCCTTTGAGGTATTTTTGTTGAAAGGACCGTTAGCTGGATTCTTATTCCGAAGCCTTTGTAGTGCGGATCCAAATTTGAATTTGCATTATTGGAGCTTCCCCCGCCCCTTCCGCCCTCCCCCCCACCCGAGCGCTGGAAGTGTTTGACTTTCCGCTATTGCACTTCCGCTATTGTACTTTCCGCTATGTTGATGGACAGACAGTTCAGCCGTGGCGGCTTGCATTATTCCACCCTTGTGGCTTGGCTTCCCCTCTCGCGCCCACCTCTTCCCCAACACCACCCGTCCCTTTTGATCCCTTCCCGCTTGCTCACTCAGCATATTCAATTCCAAGCCAACCCAACACCCCATCAGACCCGGTGGAAAACTCCACCACCACACTTGACCACATGAAAACATATCAAACCTTACGAAACCACACCACACCACACTAAACAGGAGGAGCCGGCAGCAAATCCGTTCATGAATCATGAACATCACTCACTACTCCCTGAGATGCTTCAGCCAACGCTATTCCAACCCGCAGCTTATGGCCTCGGTTCATACCAGCAGCGCGAGCACACTCCATTCGAGCGCACTTCGGAGAATGCACTTCTCAGTTTGGCTGGGAAACAAGTGGTGGCTATTCGTAGATTAGAGTCAAGTCGTTCTTGAAATGTTTATGTAGAAGTAATTTGTCTTGGATGTACCTAGAGATTGTGGCAATGGAGGTACTATTTCGTTCCGTCGTGGTGAAGACAGGTTATTGGAGGTATTATTTCCCGTAAGAAGAACCAATGACCAAAGTCCACAGGTAACCACCTTTCGTCTCTTCCCCCAAAAGTGATCGCGGTTACAGATTCCTCCTAATCCGCGCGTCCCGTAATAGCAGCACGGCCGTTGTGCTCGGAGCTATCCACGCCGCATTCAACGCGCGCATTCAACGCGCGCATTCGGCGCGCAGCTCTCGGCTTCTGACGTTCGTTGCGACGCAAGCTTCAAGTGAAGCCCCATCTATCAGGCCTCAGCATTCAGTCATCATGATGGCGTTGCCGAGGCTGAGAATCGAACCAGGGGTGTTAGCATTTAGCTGTAAGCGCGCAGCTTTCGACCTCACCCTTCAACCTCTAGCCTAACCGTCGTCCCTGTCCCCCTCTTGGCCATGTCGTGTGGTGTCCGCACCACCGTTTGTTTGTTCTCCATTCGTCCCAGCACCCTCTCCTTCCACGCCTTTCCGCGGTTCAGGCAACTTAGAACGTACCGCGAACACCGCGGCTGAAACTCTTTTCCACCTCTCTCGGATCGTCGCCTCCCTGCACGCTCACTCTCTCATCTCCCATTCCCCTCCTTCCGCCTTCTCCCCTCCCTTTCCCCCGGCTTCCCCCGTGCTACCGCTGCTCTCCCCCTCTTCCCCGTGGCGGCAGTCGAGGCGGGGAAGGAGCTCCGCACGCGCGTGAAGATCCACAACGACTACTCCAAGGACGTCATCATCACGGTCAGTTTCCACCTACCTCGGGTTGATTGTTGGGATTGATTGTGACTTTTGATTTGAGTCGACTCAAAAGGAGCTGCGCACGCGCGTGAGGATCCACAACGACTACTCCAAGGACGTCATCATCACGGTCAGTCGCTTCATAATCACTGTCAGTCGCCCCCTACATCGGGATGTTCGTCGGGATGATTGTCTGTCGGGATGATTGTTGAGATGACGCTGTAGATGATTCCTGAGTTGTGTTTTTGGCCCAAAAACAAGGCCCAACAACGACGGTTAGGCTAGAGGATGAATGTAGATCCGAATCAAAAGTTAGGACGTCGTCATGACTGTCAGTCAACCTTACCTCGTATCCGTTAGCGACAGCCCATCACATCACATCACCCCCATCACCCCCATCACCCCCATCACCCACATCACCCCCATGACTCCCATCACCCCCATCACCCCCATCACCCACATCACCCACATCACCCCCATCACCCCCATCACCCCCATCACCCCCATCACCCCCATCACCCCCATCACCCCCATCACCCCCATCACCCCCATCACCCCCATCACCCCCATCACCCACATCACCCACATCACCCACATCACCCCCATCACCCCCATCACCCCCATCACCCCCATCACCCACATCACCCCCATCACCCACATCACCCACATCACCCACATCACCCACATCACCCCCATCACCCCCATCACCCCCATCACCCACATCACCCCCATCACCCCCATCACCCACATCAACCCCATCACCCCCATCACCCACATCACCCACATCACCCCCATCACCCCCATCACCCACATCACCCCCATCACCCCCATCACCCCCATCACCCCCATCACATCACATCACCCGTAACATCAGTTGCTCACAAAGACTACTCCTAGCAGCACGTCGTCACCCCTCACTGTCAGTCGCCCCGTACCTCGAGATGAACGATAGATGCCCTTTGAAATTACACGTTGTCCAAATGGTTTTTGAGTCGAATGAGAAGCCAAGAACGTCGTCATCACTGTCAGTCACCTCCGACCTCGTACCTCGTACCTCGTACCTCGTACCTCGTATCTCGTATCTCGTACCTCGTATCTCGTATCTCGTACCTCGTATCTCGTATCTCGTACCTCGTATCTCGTATCTCGTACCTCGTATCTCGTACCTCGTACCTCGTATCTCGTATCTCGTACCTCGTACCTCGTATCTCGTACCTCGTATCTCGTACCTGCTCGCTCCTGCGACTGATGTGAATGTCAGAGACCTGTTAGTCGAGCTGCCTACCTCGTTTCTCTTCTTCCCTCCCTCCCTCCTTCCCTCCCTCGCTCCCTCGCCACCAGATAAAGCCGGGCACGGTGCGCAAGTACGAGGTGAAGGACGGCACCAAGATTGTCGTGCCTGAAGGCTCCTCCTTCCTCCTCACTGGTAACCGCCGCCTCCTCACTGGTAACCGCCGCCTCCTCACTGGTAACCACCTGCTCACTGGTAACCACCTGCTCACTGGTAACCACCTGCTCACTGGTAATCACCTGCTCACTGGTAACCACCTCCTCCTCACTGGTAGCCACCTGCTCACTGGTAACCACCTGCTCACTGGTAACCGCCTTCTCACTGGTAACCGCCTGCTCACTGGTAACCGCCGCCTCCTCACTGGTAACCACCTGCTCACTGGTAACCACCTGCTCACTGGTAACCACCTGCTCACTGGTAATCACCTGCTCACTGGTAACCACCTCCTCCTCACTGGTAACCACCTGCTCACTGGTAACCACCTGCTCACTGGTAACCACCTGCTCACTGGTAACCACCTGCTCACTGGTAACCGCCTTCTCACTGGTAACCGCCTGCTCACTGGTAACCACCTCCTCCTCACTGGTAACCACCTGCTCACTGGTAACCACCTGCTCACTTGTAACCACCTGCTCACTGGTAACCGCCTGCTCACTGGTAACCACCTGCTCACTGGTAACCGCCTCCTCACTGGTAACCGCCTCCTCACTGGTAACCACCTGCTCACTGGTAACCGCCTCCTCACTGGCACCGCCGCCTCACTGGTAACCACCTCCTCACTGGTAACCGCTTCCTCTCTGGTAACACCTCGCTGATAACCGTCTCTCGTTCCTCCTCACTCGTAACCGCCTTTTTCCTATGCATCACTCGTAACCACCTCTTTCGCTGCACTGAGCGCGCAGTGACGTGCGCACCCCTGGTCCCCTGGTGTCAGTGCCCTTCTGTCTTTGACGCGCCTCAACAGTACCCCACGCACCCACCTCCCGCTTCCCCCTCTTTCCTCCCGGCAGTGTCGTGCTTGCCGCTGTCGTCCATGCCCTGCTGGCCCGACGCGTCTCAGTACCACCCTACCCACCCGTCGCCCCTCTTTCCCCCACCCCACCCCTGCTCCGCCGCAGTGACGTGCTTGCCGCTGTCGTCCATGCCCTTCTGGCCTGACGTGCCTCAATAGCAGCACCCTACCCGCCCCCGTCCCCTCTCTCCCCCCCAACACCATCCCCGGCAGTGTCGTGCCTGCCGCTGTCGTCCATGCCCTTCTGGCCCGACGCGTCTCAGTACCACCCTACCCACCCGTCGCCCCTCTTTCCTCCACCCCACCCCTGCTCCGCCGCAGTGTCGTGCCTGCCACTGTCGTCCATGCCCTTCTGGCCCGATGCCTTCGTGCTGGCATGCCACATGCCCGCTGACAAGTTCACCCGCCGCCTCACGCTGCACACGGTGAGTGAGCTACTGATGGGGTAGGAGGGGCTTTGCTGCGAGGGACTGTGGGGCCTTCATCTTAACAGACACACGACAGAGAGTGCAGTGAGTCGCGTTCGTGCTGGCATGCCACATGCCCGCTGACAAGTTCACCCGCCGCCTCACGCTGCACACGGTGAGAGCTACTGATGGGTAGGAGGGGCTTTGCTGCGAGGGGCTTTGCTGCGAGGGGCTTTGCTGGGAGGGACTGTGGGGGCGTCATCTTAACAGACACACGACAGAGAGTGCAGTGAGTCGCGTTCGTGCTCGCATGCCACATGCCCGCTGATAAGCTCACCCGCCGCCTCTCCCTGCACACGGTGAGCCACTGCACTATCGGGCGTCCACTGTGCCATCTCTCCCTCCCTTTCGTCCTCCTCTTCCTCTCAGCTCGCCCGTCCCTACCTCCTCTCCCTCTCGCCCCCTTCCAGCCCATGTCGTCACTGCACGCTGTGTGATTTTTTAGGCGCCTCAAAAAGCACTGCGCTCCGTGTGCCAGATGACCCTAAACCCTGACTGACACTTTCTCTTCCCGTCTGTTCCCCCCTCCCTCTCTCCTCATGCTCCCCCCACCAGCCCATGTCAGCACTGCGCGCCGTGTGCCAGATGAAGCTGCCAGTGCTCTTCACAGACGAAGTCACCAAGGGGGTGGCGGAGGAGCAGCACGCGCTGGCCCAGGCACAGAAGAACAAGGAGAAGGCGAAGGAGAAGGAGAAGGAGAAGCAGGCGCAGGCGCCAGCACTGAAAACCGTGAAGGGAGGAGAGGAGGGCAGGAAGGAAGACGCGGAAGGGACGGGATCTCAGGGGGGGAAGGGGGGGAAGGGAGGGAAGGTGAGATTTGCAGGAGAGGCGTCTCTGAAGGGGGGGATTTCGCGTGTGTGGAAGGGAAGCGCAGCAAAAAAAGAGGAGGAGGAGGAGGCGAGGAGGATGGAGGAGGCGAGGAGGAGGGAGGAGGAGAGGAGGCGGCGGGAGGAGGAGGAGAAGCGGTTGATGGAGAGGGCGGAGAGGAGGGAGGAGATGAGCGGGCAGTCTATGGACCGGCTGCTCTCATCAATTGCTGCTAAGGACAAGAGCCACGTCTATGTGCGTACCCTTGCCACCATTGCCTGCACTGCACGTCTATGTGCGTACCCTTGCCTGCATGCACGCACGTTCACGTTTTTGTGCCTTTGTCCCTTCATCCCCACACTACTGTGCCCGTCCGTGTCTTTTTCCTCACAGCCTCATGGGCTGAATCTCGACCTCTTTTTGCCCCTCTCACCTCAGTCCCCTCTCCCCTCCCTCTCGTCCCTCCCCTTCTCCCTCCCATGACATCTTTCTGGCCCAGTGTCCCATGACTTTCAACCTCTCAGTGCCCCCCTCACCTTGCTCGCTCCCCGCCCCCTCCCCTCTCAGCTATGGATGGATGCTTTCTCAAGACGTAACGCCTCAAGCTGCTCTCCCTTCTCCCCATCGCCTCTCCCCCTCCTCTCCTCGCAGCTGTGGGAGCTCTTCCACAAGGCGTCACGTGCGGTCTTCCGACTCCTAAGTGTTCCCTCTCTGTGTCCCCCCCCATATCCTCCCCTCTCAGCTGTAGGAGCTGTTCCTCAAGACCTCATGCGTGGTCTTCAACCTGCTGCCTGCTCTCTCGCTCCCTCCTACCCTCCCTTCTTTCCCTTTTCTCCGCCCCTCTCCCCCCTCCTCGCAGCTGTGGGAGCTCTTTCTCAAGACGTCAAGGGCGGATTTTATGCTGCTCTCCCTTCTTCCCCCTTCCCCCACCCACCCCCCTTCACCCCCTTCCCCCCTCTCCCCCCCTCTTCTCAGCTGTGGGAGCTCTTTCTCAAGACCTCACGGGCGGATTTCAAGCTGCTGCAGCAGCGCCTGGAGGCCGCTCTGCTGGAGGCGCAGGCAGTCAAGTCGCAACTGGTGCGCCCCTGCTGCTCCCTGCTGCTCTTATGTGCTGCTGTTCCCTGCTCTTACGTGCTGCTGGGTGCTGCTGGGTGCTGCTGGGCTGCTCTGCTGCATCATGACATTGCTGCTCTGCTTTCTGTCCAACGCCTCACTGACGCACGTCCTCACTCCCCTCCGCCCCCCATGATGAATCTTTAGTCAGACTCAAAGATTCCGTCCCCTCTCCCCTACCCTCCCTCCTCCCCTTCCCATCTCCTCCTTTTCCCCCCCTCCCCCCCACCCTTCCCGTCACCCAGATCATGCACCTGCCAGCCCTCACTGTCTCCTTCTTAGGCCCTCACTGCCTCCTTCTTAGGCCCTCACTGCCTCCTTCTTAGGCCCTCACTGTCTCCTTCTTAGGCCCTCACTGCCTCCTTCTTAGGCCCTCACTGTCTCCTTCTTAGGCCCTCACTGCCTCCTTCTTAGGCCCTCACTGTCTCCTTCTTAGGCCCTCACTGTCTCCTTCTTAGGCCCTCACTGCCTCCTTCTTAGGCCCTCACTGTCTCCTTCTTAGGCCCTCACTGCCTCCTTCTTAGGCCCTCACTGTCTCCTTCTTAGGCCCTCACTGTCTCCTTCTTAGGCCCTCACTGTCTCCTTCTTAGGCCCTCACTGTCTCCTTCTTAGGCCCTCACTGTCTCCTTCTTAGGCCCTCACTGTCTCCTTCTTAGGCCCTCACTGTCTCCTTCTTAGGCCCTCACTGTCTCCTTCTTAGGCCCTCACTGTCTCCTTCTTAGGCCCTCACTGTCTCCTTCTTAGGCCCTCACTGTCTCCAACTGCTCGTTTCTTTCGGACTCGACTGAGTCTTCCCCTTACCGCCCCTTCTCCCCTTTATCTCCCCCTCCCTCCCCCTTATAAGTAGACTCAAAAGCCTCCCCCTTTGCCTTCCCCTCCCCTCTCCCTCTCCCTCCCCCTCCGCCAGATCATGGACCTGCCAGCCCTCACCGTCTCCTTCTCAAGCCTCTCCGACTCCTCACTGCTTTTGGAGTCGACTCATGAGTCTCCCCCCTGTTCCCTCCTCCCCTTTCCTCTCCCTTCCCTCACCCCTTCGTCTCCCCTCCCTTCACCCAGATCATGGACCTGCCAGCCCTCACCGTCTCCTTCTCAAGCCTCTCCGACTCCTTGCTCCCCTCGCCCTCCAAATTCTCCTCCGCACCCTTCCGCGACAGCAGCAGCTTCGCACCACCACCGCACTCCACCGCTCCCTACGTCTCTCGCTCCTTCTCCAACAACCAATTAAACCCCCGCACCAGCAGCAGCGCGGAACTCACCAACCTGCGCCCGCCCTCCACCCCAAATCCCACCACGTCCGAATCCGCCCTGCTCCCAGTGTCCCTCTCCTCGCTCTCCGCCCATCCCTCCTCTCTGGCGTCCTCCTCCAGCAGTCTGCAGCTGGGCGGGTCAGGGGGGTCGCGCACGCTGAGCAAGTGGGGCACGGGGGGGAAGAGTGCGGTGGAGAAGGAGCTACAGCGGAAGGAGATGATGCGGCGGGCGCTGATTGAGGAGAATAATGAGTTGAAGGATCGGTTGGAGGAGAGGGAGAAGAAGGAGAGGCAGGCGATTCGCAAGGCGGAAGTTATGAAGCAGGACGCGGTGAGTGGGGCAGGGGAAGGTGGGGGGAAAAGGAAAGGGGGAAGGGGGAAGGGGGGAGGGAAAAAGGGAGAAGAAGGAGAGGCAGGCGCTGCGCAAGGCGGAAGTTATGAAGCAGGACGCGGTGAGTGGGGCAGGGGAAGGTGGGGGGAAAAGGAAAGGGGGAAGGGGGAAGGGGGGAGGGAAAAAGGGAGAAGAAGGAGAGGCAGGCGCTGCGCAAGGCGGAAGTTATGAAGCAGGACGCGGTGAGTGGGGCAGGGGAAGGTGGGGGGAAAAGGAAAGGGGGAAGGGGGAAGGGGGGAGGGAAAAAGGGAGAAGAAGGAGGGGCAGGCGCTGCGCAAGGCGGAAGTTATGAAGCAGGACGCGGTGAGAGGGAGAGGGGGGGAGGTGGGGGAGCCGAAGAGGAGATGAGGGGGTGGGAACGAATGGGAGTTTGAGCAATAAAGGAATTGTTTTTAGGGTTTCCTGTTCTCTTGCTGTCAGCTTGCCAGTTTCAGTTGTTTCCCTTCCTCAGGATCTCCCCATGTGCACCATCTTCACCCCCTTTCCCATGCCATTCACCCACATCGCCCATCCCTTCCACCTTGTTTTACATGCTTTCCACCCCACACCGTTACCTCCTTGTTCCGATATCAACACGCGCAATACGCACTTGCCAGGAAGCTACATGGAGCCAGTTGCAGGCCATGCAGCAACGGTTTTTAAGAAGTCCTGAGATCTTTTTAGGATTTTCAGAAAATTTCTCGCACCTCATGGCCTTTCCTCCTTTTTCCTTTTTTACCACACGCAATGCGCACCTGGCAGGACACGACGAGGAGCCATTTGCAGGCGATGCAGCAGCGGCTGGAGGAGGAGGAGGCACAGCGGCAGACGCTGCTGACAGAGCTGCAGGCGCTCAGAGCCCAGGTGCTGAGCGGAGGACAGCAGCCGCAGCAGGTGCCGCAGCAGCAGCAACAGCAGCAGCAGCAGCAGCAACAACAAGGGGTTGTGGAGGAGGAGAAGGAGGAGAAGCAGCAGCAGAGGGAAGAGCGTCAGCAGCAGCAGCAGCAGCAGCAGTGGGAGAGTGAGGAGCAAGCAGGGGAGTCGCAGGGGGAGACAGACCATGAGCATGAGCATGCGCATGCGCATGAGCATGAGCATGCGAATGCAGACAAGCAAGGCGAGGAGGGGTTGCAGGCGAGTGACCAGAGTAGTGAGAACGCGGAGGAGAGGGCGAAGAGGAAGGAGAAGAAGGAGAAGAAGGAGAAGAAGAGTAAGGAGGAGAAGAAGGAGAAGAAGAAATCCAAGGAGAAGAAGGCAAAGGAGAGCTCGAAAGAGGGAGTGACTGACGGGGAGGAGGAAACGCAGCAGCAGCAGCAGGAGGCGCAACAGCAGCAGCAAGAGCAGCAAGAGCAGCCAGAGCCTGATTTTATGTCGTTTCTGATGAAGCAGGCTGCTGCAGATGCTGCCGCGAAGAGTGCTGCAGACGGAACCACTACGTATGCTCCTGTTGCTGCACCTGCTGCTGCTCCCGTTGCTGCACCTGCTGCTGCTCGTCCGGCCGTTGCTGCTCCTGCGCCTGCTCCTGTCGCTGCTGCTACTGCGTCTCTGGGACCATCGGCCAGCAGGGGGCGTGGGAAGCTGGTCATTCCCTTTGACGACGACGACGATGACGATGCATAATAAAAAGCATGGGATGGAAGAAGGAATAGCAACTGGCAACGCTTTTGAGGCGCTTGAAAATTCGCCTCTGGGGCCGTCAGAAAGCAGGGGGCGTGGTAAGCTGGTCATCCCATTTGACGACGACGACGATGACGATGTCTAGTCAAAGCAAGAGCGGAAAGGCAGAATACGCAAGTGGAGACGGCAGAATGGTGGCAAGTGGAGGCGGAAGAGGCAGAGCATGAGATGAAAGAGCTCTAGCATGTGTTCACGGCTGCACGCTCAGCAGTGTGAGCAGCGTGGTGGTACAAGCAGACACAGGGTAGAGAGGTCAAGAGTGCTGCTCATGAGCCCTCTTGGAGGCGGCAAAGATAATCATTTTCGTGGGTCAATTTCTGCTGGAAGATGATGTTCCTGTGACCTGTCTTTTCATGCATGTGTGGACCTTATCACTTTAGCAGCTGCATGGACTCCAAATTAGCTGAATGTTTGACTTACGTATTGAATTGCTGTATTGAGTGTATTCTCCAATAATTGCTGTTTCTTGCGTGATCGAAACGACAACTTCAAGGCGGACCTCCTCGATTTTCCCGATTCATTGGAGTCTTCCAGCCCAGCATCACTCCGTCGTTTTCAGATTCCGCAACTACTTGGAGTTCCACCTCCTCGATCCAGCTCACATATCAGCGAGAATTTCTACGATTCTTCATGGTCAGGCAAAATCCGTAGCACTGGTAGTGCCTTTATTGAGAGAACATCTGGGACAAAGCAAGGCCAACGAATCCCGCCGAGGCTGAGAATTCGGTTCTTCTGGGAATGCTTTCTCGCTTCTTCCTTCACAATTGCATAGTAAGGTAGCTGAATTTGCGTTCGTAAGAATGGCAGCAGCTGCTGTTCATATCCAGCCGAAGTCTCTGACGTTCCCGTGTAAGACAACAGTCACTGACACCTTGTTACCACCATAAGCGGCCTTTCATAAATCACAGTTTTCTTGACTTGTGACGTCATTAGCGACGCCTTCTTTCAAATCGTTCATTACACAGCATACGATAAATTCCTGTATTTTACACATGGCAGTCGAGGCGAATAAAGAGCTTTCGGTGACCGTCCAAATAACCAACGGTTACCCTCGCGAGATCCTACTCTTTGTGAGTCACAGGAAGATGTGAGGAGGATGTGAGGAGGAAGATGTGAGGAGGAGGATGTGACGAGGAAGATGTGAGGAGGAAGATGTGAGGAGGATGATGTGAGGAGGAAGACGTGAGGAGGATGACGTGAGGAAGAAGATGCGAGGAGGATGATGTGAGTATTTTCTGTTTCCTGCATATCCGGATTCCTCCTCTGCGCTGCTCCGTTCCCAAACATCCCTTTATCCTCGCCGGCGATCCGTTCAATGTTCTTTGCAGCTTTTGAGACGTCTCAAGAGATTCCTCCTCTGCGCCGCTCCGAGTTGACTTTTGAGTCAACTCAAAAGTCGACGTCTCAAGAGATTCCTCCTCTGCGCCGCTCCGTTACCACACATCCACATCCCTTGATCCTCGCCGTCGATCCGTTCAATGTTATTTTGAAGCTTACTGAACGAGGAACATCTGAGCGTCTGACGGTTCTCCTGTCTGATTTCAAGCATTCTGCCTTTTATCCTCGCCAAATTAAATCACTCTGCTTCGCTCTCTTGCGCTCTGCACCACTCGCTCTCGCCACTTCTCCACCCTTCTCCGCTGTTGGAGCAGGTGGAGCCTGGATCAGTGCGAGGCTACGTGGTGGTGGAAAGGCTGAAGCACATTTTGCAGGGGGGACGGTCGATTATTGACTTTTGAGTCGACGCAAGAGTCACCTTGTTCCGTGTGCAGGTGGAGCCTGGGTCAGTGCGACGCTACGCGGTGGTGGAAGGGCTGAAGCACATTGTGCCAACAGGACGATCCACCACACTCACAAGTACGCACTGTTTGACGCTAACAAGTATGCATGGCATCACACTCACAAGTATGCATGGCATCACACTCACAAGTATGCATGGCATCACACTCACAAGTATGCATGGCATCACACACAAGTATGCATTGCATCATCTCACTCACACGTATGGCATCACGTTCACTAGTATGCATTGCGTCACACTCACTGTTATGCATCGCCTCACTTTCTAACTACCGCGACCTTCCTCTCTTCATCTCTCACCCACCTTCCTCTCTCCGTCCCTCACCCACCTTCCTCTCTCCGTCCCTCACCCACCTTCCTCTCTCCGTCCCTCACCCACCTTCCTCTCTCCCCCCCAGTGCTGTGCTCTCCCCTGCCAGCCATGCCAATCTTCCCTGACCAATTCCGTGTAACCACCTACAGGGCTGGTTACCACTCCTCAGACGCCCTATCGATCTGCAGTGTACGTCTCTCACTCATCCCCACTGTACATTACTCACCCCCACTGTACATCACTCACCCCCACTGTACATTACTCACCCCCACTGTACATCACTCACCCCCACTGTGCATCACTCACCCCCACTGTGCATCACTCACCCCCACTGTGCATCACTCACCCCCACTGTGCATCACTCACCCCCACTGTGCATCACTCACCCCCACTGTGCATCACTCACCCCCACTGTGCATCACTCACCCCGACTAAACGCCGCGTCTGAAGGCTCCCATGCCGTAACGCGTCTGAATGCTCTCATGCTATGACGCGTCTGAATTATCTCATGCTATGACGCGTCTGAATTATCTCATGCTATGATGCGTCTGAATTATCTCATGCTATGACGCGTCTGAAGGCTCTCGGGCTGTAACGCGTCAGAATGGTCTCAAGCTTCGTAGCTCTGAGAATACGGCCAGCCAGCTGGCTCTCAAGGCACCTGCCACCGTTGTGTCTGTGTCTGTGACTTTTGAGTCGACTCAAAAGTAGCTTAGTAGCTCTTAGAATACGGCCAGCCAGCTGGCTCTCAAGGCACCTGCCACCGCTGTGTCTGTTGTGTCTCTTGTCTCTTGTGTCTGTGTCCACTCCAGCCGTGTTCTTTATCTTCCAAGCCACGGCTATGCCTGTGCTTGAGTCGTCTGACGAGACGAGATGCTACGAGTAACGCAATGCATATGCATACTTGTGAGTGTGACCCATCGCGTGTGTACCTTACACCCACAATTCCTTCTCCACCTCTGCCCCTTTCTCCCACCTCCCTTCCCCTCTCCCACAACCCTACCCCATCTCCATCCCCACCCCATCCCCCTTTCCTGTTACAGCCGTTGTCCTCTCTTGAGATTGTGAGTGCGACCAATCTGCCTGTGCTGTTCGTCTGCAACTCTGCCAGCACGAGGGGAGTAGTCTTTCCAGGAATGGGTGAGAAGCAGGGGATGGCAGCAGCGCATGCAGCACGAGAAGGGATTGGGGTAAGGTGGACAGTGGTGAGAGATAAGCTAGGGAGGCTGCAGCAGGAGAGGATGGGGGAGGGGCAGGAGGAGGAGAAGGTGAGGGGGGAGGAGGGGCAGGTGGAGCTGGGGGAGGTAGACAGGCGAATCATTCTATCCAAGGGTGGTGTAGCAGCAAAGGATATGTCGCGAGTGAGAGAAGGGGGTTTTGCTCGAAGTGGAAGCAAAGGGCGAGTTCAAGGGGTTGGGCGAGGGCAAGAATTAAGGACAGATGGGTTGAGGATTGAAGGAGCAAGGAGGGAAGGACTAGGAACGGAGGGAGTAGGGATCGAAGGAGCGTGGAGGGAAGGAGCAGGAGGAGCAGCAGCAGAGAGGAGTTTGCCAGTCTGCAATCCAACGAGGTGGCTCATATCACGAGTCATGACCCCGCATACGAGCCACGAATATGTATGTACGTGCCGCTGAATCTCTCCAATCCAGTCCTCTGAAAGGTCATCTCATATCAACAGCAGCAGAGAGGAGTTTGCCAGTCTACAAGCCAACGAGGTGGCTCATTTCACGAGTCATGAGCGGGCATGCGAGCCACGAATATGTATGTTCGTGCTGCTGCAACTTTCCAGTCGACTCAAGGGCTAAGTCTCCTCATTTCACAGCCGGCCCTTCCCTCCTTCGCCCTTCCCCTCCGTGCTCCCCCCCCTCCCCCCTCCCCTCAAATAGCTGTTACAAATGTCCCCAGAGACGTATTAGCCAATATTTGTTTTCTTCCTTCACCCCATGCCCCTTTCTCGTAGCCCGACCCTTCGCTTTCCCCCTCCCCACCCCCTTCCCCACCCCCTTCCCCATCCCCTTCCCCCTTCCCCCAGATCAGGGACATGTATCTCATGTCAATGTTGAGGCCTCTCAGAAACACCCGCCAACACCCCCCTCCCCCTCCCTCAAGCAGCTTTGGGAGTGGTTTCTCAAGTCCACTCGGGCGAACTTTGCAGGGCTACAGATACAGAGACACGTGCTTTGAGGCGCCTCACAACCCCTCCCTTTCCCCTCTCCCCTCCTCCCTCCCACTTCCCTTCCCCCCACGGCAGTTGTGGGAGAGGTTTCTCAAGTCGACTCGGGGGGACTTTGCGGGGCTGCAGAGGCACGTGGTGGACATGGGCGTGCAGATGGAGCAGCTGCGGGAAGAGAACCAGCGGCTCAGGGATGCGTTGCAGCAACAGCAGGTACGAGGGGCAGAGGCGGGCACGCTAGAGGTAGGTGTTACGATCACTGTATCCCATGCAGAGGCACGTGGTGGACGTGGGCATGCATTTGGAGCAATTGCGGGAGGAGAACCAGAGGCTCAGGGCGGCGCTGCAGCAACAGCAGCAGCAGGTATGGGAGACAGAGGGGGGCAGGCTACATGTAGGTGCTGCATTCGTCAAGTTTGACGATTTCTAGTTTCAGATGACTGTGCAATACCTGTTACATGGAAAGGATGACACGATGGTTCAAAGGGACTCGGCAGTTGGTATTGAGTCAGAATGCTGTTGCCACTTGGGGAGCGCAGCTGCTCTAGAGCCACAATGCAGCTGCTGCAGCACTCTTGAGTTTCACGCACGAATACTACCAACATTCACTGACTCGACTTGCTGTTTTGTGTTCTCAAACTCCACCCTCTCCCTGTCCGCCGCTTCTACCTCCCAGTCTGCACAGGTCTTGGCGGTGTGGGAGGGTGTGGGGGAGGAGGAGGAGGAGGCACAGGGGAGGGAGGAGGTGCAGCGAGAGCTCTGGGAGGAGAACAACCAACTACGGGCTTCTCATGCTTCTGAAGCCTGCGCGGATTCTGAGGCACCTCAAGAAGCATTGCTGGGAGGGAGCAGCGACCTGAATCCTTCTGAAGCTTCAGAGGCTTCTGAGGCTTTAAAGGCTTCAGAGGCTTCTGAGGCTTTAAGGGCTTCAGAGGCTTCTGAGGCTTTAAAGGCTTCAGAGGCTTCTGAGGCTTTAAGGGCTTCAGAGGCTTCTGAGGCTTTAAGGGCTTCAGAGGCTTCTGCGACTTCAGCGGCTTCGGAGGCTTCTGAGGCTTCAGCGGCTTTGGAGGCCTTAAATGTGGGTCAAAGGACACTGGTAGAGGAGAACCGGGAGCTGCGGGAGAGGGTGGAGGAGAGGGAGAGGGCTGTGAGGGCGGCTCAGAGCACTGCGGACGCTCTCGCCAGTGAGCTGGTGAGTGGTCCGTCTGTGGAGCATTGGTGATGGTTGGCATGCGCTCCGCACCCCTTCCCACCACACCCCTTTTCAGCACTTGTTTCCTCACCGCTCCGCCCCTTCCTCTCTCCCCTAACCCCTGCAGGCAGCAGCACAGTCCCAGTTGTCAGCAGCGCAGCAGCAGGCGCAGGGGGAGAGGGAGGGGCGGCAGAGGCTGGCAGGGGAGCTGGCTTCTATGCAGGCGCTGCTGCTGCAGCAGATGCAGGCAGTGGCAGAACAGAAGGAGCTGATTGAAAGGCTCCTGGAGCGACAGCAGCAGCAGGCTGACGTTTTAGAGCCAGGAGGGCCAGGGACAGTGGGCCCAGGGGTAATGGGTTCAGAGCCTGTGGGATCAGGGGCAGGGGAATCAGGAGCAGGGGAATTGGGGACAGGGGAATCAGGAGCAGGGGAATTGGGGACAGGGGAATCAGGAGCAGGGGAATTAGCGGCAGGGGAATCAGGAGCAGGGGAATTAGCGGCAGGGGAATCAGGAGCAGGGGAATTAGCGGCAGGGGAATCAGGGGCAGGGGAATCAGGGGCAGGGGAATCAGAGGAAGGGGAATTAAGGGCAGGGGAATCAAGGGCAGGGGAATCAGGAGTAGGGGAATCAGGGGCAGGGGAATCAGGGGCAGAGGAATTAGGGGCAGGGGAATTAGGGGCAGGGAGATCAGGGGCAGGGGAATCAGGGGCAGGGGAATTAGGGGCAGGGGAATTAGGGGCAGGGGAATCAGGGGCAGGGGAATCAGGGGCAGGAGAATCAGGGGCAGGGGGGTCACAGGTAGTGGAGTCAGAGGTAGTAGGGTCACCAAGAGGGAATTCAGAAGCAGTGGGGTTAGGGACAGAGGTTGAGGATTGCGAGAGTAGAAGCAAGGGCGATGGGGATGGGAGGAAGCGGAAGGATAAGAAGGAGAAGAGGGAGAGGAAGGAACGGAAGGAGAGAGAGAAGCAGGAGAGAAAGGAGAGAGAGAAGCAGGAGAGAAAGGAGAGTAAGGAGAGGGAAAACCGGGAGGAGCGGGAGAAAGGGGATGATAGGGAGGAGAGGGAGGATAGGGAGGAGATGGATGAGAGGGAGGGGAGGGAGCAGGAGCAGACGGATTGCCTAGACAGGGAAGGTGCTAGAAGGGCAAATTTGGAAGGAGTTCTGAGGAGTGCAGATGGCAAAGACGAAGGCGACAGGTGTACTGAATCATGTGGTGCGGACTGTGGTGAGGGAGAGCGAAGCAGAGGCGGAGCAGGAGAGGCAGCCTCAGCTGTGGGGAGAAGGGAGGGAGAGCACAGAGATCCTCGGGATAATGAGGTTCGGAGCATTCGGGAAGGCAGGGCGGTTGGAGACGTGGCAGGCGGGGGAAGGGATGGGGAAGCCAGTGACAACTGCAAACGGGTGAACGGGCCTGCAATTGCCAAGTGAAGCTGGTGGGTGTGGAGCTGAAGTCGGTAGGTAGTTGGGAAGCAGAAGCGGGCAATCAGAGAGCAAGTGAGGAGATGGAGCGGAGCAGATCTAGCTGGATCCGGGCCATCCTATAGCCATATTTTGTTGCCTAATTGAAAGCGAAATGCTTTGGCAAGGTCCCTCAGCAACGTTGGTATTGAATATGGTGCTACATACAGCGGCTGTTCAATCCATGAGGCGGTGGCAATAGGAATCTCCGGGCACGAAGAATATGCTGGTAATATGTGGCAGCAACAGCAACAGCAGCCTCTATGGTATTACAGGTTTCAGTTCAGACCACACATGAGGTGGCAGCAACCAGTTGGCACGATGTCTAACAAGCAATGCACAAAGAGAAGGGAACTTTTGAGTCGGCATGGTGCTGCTGCTCCCCTACACGGTTGGCTAATCCCCCCTCTCCTCCAACGCTCCCACGGCCGCCTCTCTTGCAGCACGGTAGGCTGAAAAGACGGCTGCAAGCTCGCCTTCTCGAGCAAAGGATGCGCCCTCTGTGAGCAAGCCGCCTGGAAGGAGGAGGGATGGGTGTGAATGGGAGAAATTAGCACAATGACGTCGGAGCGGAAAGAGCAAGGTTGCACGCTTATGTGCGAGATCCAATCAACGAGGGAGTGTGAACATACATTAGGTTGGATTGGAAGAGTGTGTGCTGCCTACAGGTTATGGATGCTGCAAAGAAGGGCTCCCGTGCAGCCAGCATGGAGTTTTAGAGAAATCTCACAAGCTCCTTACTAGTAGCTCCTGAGCTGCTGCAGCAAGATTACCTGTGGCAGCGCCTTAGAAACAGAATGCTCACAAGCTTACAGTACTCACATGTTTTGAGTCGCTGCAGGGAGTTGTCATAAAGCCAGCATGCTGCATCGGCCTGCTCCACATCCAATGCCTCTGCCTGTGAGCATGTGCATGTGCATGTGCATGTGCATGTGCATGTGGGGCGCACAGACATGCATGCATGCATGAGACAAGGGGCGCACAGAGGCAAGGGGCGCACAGAGAGGGGTGAGTGACAAGCCAGCATGCTGCATCGGCCTGCTTCACATCCAATGCCTCTTCCTGTGAGCATGTGCATCTGCATGTGCATGTGCATGTGCATGTGGGGCGCACAGAGGCAAGGGGCGCACAGAGGCAAGGGGCGCACAGAGGCAAGGGGCGCAGAGAGGCAAGGGGCGCACAGAGAGGGGTGAACGACGGCATGCATACACGAGTGTTGCACACATTGTTATCAAACCAGGGTGTGGTGAGGTGGTGACAGATGCGGCGAGGTGGGGCGAGGTGAGGCGAAGAGAAGGCCAGGTGAGGAGTGGGAGGTTGTGCAGGTGACTGGAGCGGTTGATGGGGGAAAAGGGGGGGGGAGGGGGAGGGAGGGGAGGCAGGTGCAGCAGTATCTTACAGCATCAGACTGGATGTGGCGTTCCATGGGAAGATGGGCGAACAGCCTGGCAGGGATGTGAGTGGGTGGACGGTAACAGGTAAGAGGCAGATGAGTGCATGCAAAAAGGAACAGGGTGGGACGTGCAATGCGGGTAAACACGGACTGCTTCCACCCACAAGAGATGAAACAGCATTTTTGTTGGAGATTTTACTCCTCTTCCTCCCCACCTCCCTCCATCGTCTCAAGCGTGTGTCATGAACCCCAATTGTGACTCCACCAGCCGCCTCATAGCCTTCCCTGCCCCGCCCCCTGCTCACCACCTTCCCTGCCCCGGCCTCTGCTCACCACCTTCCCTGCCCCGGCCACTGCTGCACACTCACATGCAGCTGCTGTGGCAGCAACACTCTTTCCCCCAGTCCCCTCCCTCACCTTCCAACAGCCACCCACACACCCACCCGTGCCACTCACTTCTGTTTCATCACGTGCAACTGCTGCTCCACCAGCCTCCTCGCCTGCCCTGCCCTCTGCTGCAACCCCGCCTGCAGCTTCTGCGGCAGCGGCACCGCCCCCACCACAAACGCCGACGTGGGACGAGCGGGAGTGTGAGGGGAGGAGGAGGAGGCAGGGTGGGGAGCAGTGGGAAGGGAAGAGAGCGGGCCGAAGAAGAGAGATTGCAGGGCGGAAACGGCGTCCCATGCCTTGTGGTGGGGGCCCTCTTGAGCAAAGAGGAGCAAGAGACGAAAGGAGTCTGCCGGACAGTAGGAGGGGAAAGGGTTTTAGGGGCTGAAAACTAGAATGGCATCATCAGAGTCACATCATCATGGCATCATCAGTGGTATCACGTCATCATGGCATCATCATGGCATGCCGCAGTCACACGTGTGGTAAGAACAATGGGCCGTCTCACCAAGGGGGAGGTAGATGAGGGTGGGCGGATAGGGCGCGGTTCGCTGAGTGTGAAAGAGGCAGTAGAGAGTGAACACCGCCCCCACTGCCGCCAGCAGACGCCCCCCTACAAACACACCACCCTCCTCCCTTCTCCCCCCCTCCTCTCCTCTCTCCCCCTCCTCCCCTCTGGCCCCCTCCTCCCCTCTCTCCCTTTCCTCCCCTCTATCCCCCTCCTCCTGCGCACCTCCCTCTCTCACTCCTCGCCCCTGGGCCAGTGGCACAGCCCCTGCTGCTTCACGCGCTGCACCTCCGTCCGCAGCACCACTGGCAGCAGCAGCGGCAGGAACAGCAGGAGCAGCCGGAGCAGCAGGGGCTGTAACGGGTACAGCCGCGGCAGCGGCGTCAGGCGTGCAATCAGTGGCGGAGGCATGGCAGCCGGCCGGCACAGCCTGCAAGAACCCTGCAGCGACGTCAGGTTATCGTTGATTGGATCCGGTAATGCGTCACACAGACGGACGGACCCACCCAAGGCTGGCTTGCTCTCCCACCCATGGCAGTCCCAGCTGCTCACTTTAAAACCCTGCAGCAACGTCAGTCCATCGCATATTGGCGCCGGTAATGCGTCAGACAGACGGACTCACCTAGGTCTGGCTTGCTCTGCCACCACGGCAGTCGTGGTGGCAGCCGTGGTGGCAGTCCCAGTAGCTCACTTTAGACTGTTCTGACAGCTCACATAAAGCCGTTCTAGCAGCTCATTTCGGGCCGTTCTAAGAGCTCACCTAAGGCCGTCCCGTAGAGCAGCTGTAGGAAGCGGCGCGGGTCGATGTCTTTAGGGCACGCGTCGTGGACGAAGGAGAAGCGGCGCGCTCGCCACACGGCTTTAAACGCCGCCAGCGACGGATCGGCGCGCTGCGAAAGGGGACAGAGGCGCTGCAGCTTTATTACGGAGCGTTTTTAAATTATGGAGGACGAAGCGGTGCTGGATGCTGGTAAATTTTCTCGCCACATAGTCATACAATCATGCCGGGGACCTACCTACCTTCACAAATTCGCGCAACAGCTCCTCGACGTCGCGCACGTATCCGGGCACCGCCAATTCCTCCTCCTCCTCCTTCTCCATGGGAGTGGATGCTGCACCGATGCTAGAGGTAGTGGCTACAGCGGCGCGGGAAGGAGAGATGGCGGCGTTCTGAGTTGCTTCCAAGCTCGGAACATTGTTGCTGCATTGCAGAATACTCCGTTTTACGCGCCCCCCTACATCAGGTGTACAACGTAAAGGAAAATAGTGTAATTTACGTATAATATCCAACCCACTTGGTTTTGCAAGATTTTAGGGGCTTGGGAGGGGGAGGGGGTTGTGTGGGGGCATAGGTTGGTTTGCGAGGACGTGCGCGCCAAGGTCTGCGGGGGAAGTTCGCGCAACAGGCGGAGGGAGTGTTGTAGGGCCCGCACGCAGAGGAATCCATGCGCGCATGAAAAGACGACAACCCAGACGACAAGCCAGACGCAGTGGGGCGAATCAACGAGCATCCTTGCTTAGGTTCTGTCACGTGACAAGCAGCTCCCAGATGGCCGTTGCCCTCCAGCTGATCCAGCGGGCAGCATGACTCCTGACCGTAAACCCTTGTCATTCGTTGTCATCGGGAAAAGGTAAGCCGTGGCGTGATATTTCTGCGTCAGACAACATCGTTGTGGATAGGGTCTCCGCGATTCATGTGGTCCAGATTTATTTTCGCGTTTGTTGTGGGGTCGAAAGATGATGTGGCGTGGGTGGTGAAAACATCGCTCCATCTGAGGTCAGGAGGAGTTATTGTCGGACACCAGTCAGTATGTTTCCTCAGGCAGTACACCTATTCTTTCTGTGAGAATTTGACCGCGGGGGTTGTTTATCCAAACTTCCGTTCTTTCTCCACACTCCCAATAAAAACGGAAGCGTCTCTTCTCCCAGTAGCCTCTACACGAAAGCGCCTCGCATCATTACTTACTAAAGTTCTGAAGAGATCTGGCATTTGTACATCTGAAATTGAAAACACCATACAGTAGTCCAGACCTCGATGGTGGACAAAATTAAGAACGCCATCCAAGGCACTTCACTGCCAGCAAAGCAGCAACCGAACTATCATCACTCATGCAAGAATTTTTTTCCCAGAGCGTCCATAGTGCAACCTTCAGCATCTACCCTTTCCACCAGATATGAAGTGTTGCTGAAAAGCATCTGTTGTAAGCTATTGGTTGTAGAGGGCTAAGCTCTCGATGAGTACGTGTAACATTCAGTTGCCTGCTCTTTCAAAGGCGTTTAAAACAATCATGGGAAATTTTGAGTACCTACTTGTAGGATAGCATAAAGGGTAACTACCCGTGAATTGCACAGCATTCAGAACCAAAACAGCGAGCCAAAGCCACGGATTGTTCTCCGCGATATTTACTCCTCTTCCGAAAAAGCGCAAACTTTCTGAATTGCCTTCTGCAGCAAAAAGGTCGCAGGCCGAAGATATTTCCGGTCAGAATGCATGCCTGATTTCCGGCTTTCCCCTGTTTTGTGATGATCCCGTGAGTCGTTGCTTGTTGGCAGCAGCGTCGATGGCAGGGTCGGATGAGGATGACCCAGACACCCAGGACCAGGAGGAAGCGTGGTTGCTTGTATGGCCACTGGGCAGGGACGGGTTTTGAAAACGCTTTTATGGCTGCTGCTCAGCTGCGGTGTTGTTTTGCTCAACTGAGTGGCTTTGCTGCTTGAAACCAACCTCCAGATAGATGCGTCGTGCGAGAGAAAGATACGCAGAGTTGAGAGGATTGCAAGCCATTGAGGTCACAGAATAGAAGCTCAATCCGCAGACTGAAAGCTCTGCTCAGGCGCTCACTTTGTAATTAGAGATCAGAAGCTATCAATACGTAAACGTCGACCTTCATAGCCGTCCAGTGGTGTTTTCTGCGGGCTTGTGGACATTCTAGGATAATGACATTCTAGTGCGTAATTCGGATGGTCGACACTTTTCCGTCGCTAATTCTTGCACACCAACAATTTCCCGCATTAGTACGAAGTCCTAGACACATATAGACATGCTAGATTCTTCAGGTCGGCCGCTGCTGCTGCAGCAACAGCAGCAGCAGCAGCCTCAGCAGCAGGAACAGCAGCCGTCGCAGCAGCAGCGTCCATGTGACGTGGCGACGTTTCAGCGGAGTAGCGTCCACATATTGCTGTCAGATAAGGACAGCGATTCGCGAAGCAGTGTGTTGGAACTGCTCCGGAGCTGTTCATACCAAGGCAAGCAATCTAATCTACATAGTCGTAGACCATTGTGACAAAGAGGCATGTCGACTTAAAGAAAGTTATCAATCAGTCCGCCATTCCACTTTCTTACGACAGCCTTTAGTGTGTCCGACAACTTATTTGATCTCCGTACCTTCCTCTTTCGCTCTGTGCCTTTCTTCCCTCCATGGCCTCTTTTGCCACTGCTACTTTCGTCTTCTCTCCCAATTCCTGCCGACATTCCTACAGTGACGGCTGTGGAGAACGCTCGATCAGCGCTGCAGCTGCTTCGGTCCGGCACGGCGGCGATCGACCTGATTCTTGCGGAGGTGGAGCTGCCGAACGGCAAGGGCATGAAGATGCTCAAGCTCATCGCGCGCGAAGAGCGCCTTCGGAAGATACCGATAGTCAGTGAGTGAATGGCCGTCGTCTGCCTGCCCTTAATTATCAATTGAACATACGGAATTGTATGCGTCGGTCGTTCATCTATCTTTCTCGATGCTTTCTTCAAATCTTGCCTGATGCAGGCATCGTCTTTTGTCTCTGCGCGAGGTTTCTCGAATTCCGCGTTCTTGGTCCTCATGCTGTGCCGTTCAGTGCTAATATCCGCGCTATTTTCGCTTTCTTTTTTATCCCTGCGCTTTATCAGTGATGTCGGCGCGCGACGAGATGGCCATTGTCGTGCGCTGCCTGCGTCTCGGCGCGGCGGATTTCCTCGTGAAGCCCTTGCGGACGAACGAGCTTCTCAACCTCTGGACGCACATGTGGCGCCGCCGCCGATCGGTCAGTGACGCATTTGAGTTGACTCAGCTTGTGCCGTGCGACTTAGTAATGAGCTGAGTTTTGGGCCTGACTCAGTCGTTACCTTGAACAAGCAAAGCCCCTCACGCATATGCTGGTACTTTCGCGTGTCTTTTTTTGTCACCGGTACTCTTTTTTATTTCGCGTTTGGTTCGAAACATCCGTACAGCTAGAAACGTGTTGTGTGTATATCGCAATAGCGCTCTGTTGATCAATTCGACATGTTCCCCTTCCCTGCGATGTTCGCATGATACGGGTGGCCCTCATTGCTCGCTTCTCGCCAAGCAGGCGTCTTGCAAGGTGCGCGCCAACGCTGCCGCCTGTGCTTCACACATGCTGTTGAATCATCCCATTTGCACCTTTCTTGTGTTTCTCACTCGAAGCACCCTCACTCGATCCGCCCAACTTCTCTCCATTTTCCCTCTTCTCTCCCTAGCGCTATCTCCCATGGACACCATGCGCATTCGTGCGTGCAATAGCATTCCCCGCTAACGACTCGCACCTGTGTTGTTTGTTTCTCTTGCAGTTCGGCTTGACGGAGCGGCCGCAGAACCTTGTGCCGGTGAGCATGAATGACCTGCCACACGACTTCGTGTTCATCGATACGAGCGAATCCAACACCGGTACTGGCAGCACGGATCTGTTTTCTGATGAGACGGACGAGATTCGCCGCAGCAGCACGCAGCAGCTGCAGCACCAGCAGCTGCAGCTGCAGTTGCAGGAGCAGCAGGAGCAGCAGCAGCAGCTTCAGGAGTTGGAGCAGCAGCAGCAGCAGCAGCTGTTGTTGCAACAGCAGGAGCAGTTGCAGCAGTGGCGGCAGGTGCATCAGGAGGAGGATGTGGAGCAGTGGAGGCAGGAGCAGGAGCAGGTGCTGCGGCAGGAGCATCGACAGCAGGAGCTTTTGTTGTTGAAGAAGCAGGAAAAACAGAAGCAGCCGCAGCACCAACAAGAGCACGACCAACAGCAGCAGCAGCAGCAAGGGCGGCAAAAACAAGTTCAGCGACAACAGCAGCAGCTGCTGCAACAACAGGAACAGCATTTGCAGGCACAGCAAGAGCAGGAACAGAAGCTAGCGGTTGAACAGAGCGGGCAGGTGCGGAAGGGGGAAAGGAATCCGGTTGCCAGAGGGAAGGTAGCAGCAGCGGCAGCAGGCGATGGAGAGAGGCAAGGTCCAGTGGACAATGAGCCAGGCGCGCAGGGTATTAGCCGCAGTGACGCACAGGCGAAGCTGGGGGGTGGTCTTGCGCGCAGAGAGCAAGTGGTGCGCGCACAGAAGAGCGGGAAAGAGAAGGGTGAGGAGGTGCGGAGCGAGGGGAAAAGGGGAGGCGAAAGGGGGAGAGTGGGGGAAGGGAAAAAGTGGTGAGAGAAGCATGTGAGGCGGTTGCGTCGAGGCGCTTGCGTGTGGATGATGCGGTTGGGAGCGGTGGAGTGAAGCAGTCAGGCGGTGCTGGGCGAGGGAAGGATGAGCATGCGAAGGGGGTGGCACACGAGGCACAGCAGCCGGGGAAAGATGAAGAGAGCCGGGGGAGGGTGGGAGGAGGACATGCAATGGGCGAGGAGAATGACGATGGCGCTGCTGCTACCCTTGCTGGCGCTGCTACAGCTGCTGCTGCGTCAGCGGCTGCTGGTGTTGCTGCTGTTAGCGCGTTTAGCAATCGCGAAGTGGAGGGAAGAATGGACGACCAGAATGAGGGGATGCAAGCCTGTGAAGCGGATGCAAGGGCTCGCCAGGTGAGCTTCTATCCCATATGTGCCTCGCAAAGAGCCCCTGACTGTCTTGGACTCTTGTTTGAGGCTCATACATTCCTCATCACTGCTCGTTCTTGCCCTCTGCTGGCTGTAACCGATGCCCTGGTGCCATCTCTTTTACGTCCACTTATTTGCAAAACTTCTCCTTCGTTTCCCGCTTTTCCACCGTCTGCTGTTTGACTGTCAATTTCCCCTGTTTCTCCTCTCCTGCCTCCCCCCTTGCGTCATCCCTGCAGCCATCACCGCACCTGGAGCTCTCTCTCATGCCGCCTCTCACTCGCCGGCTGCTCCCTCCGCCCTTCCTCCCTCCTCCTCCTATGCCTCCTGCAATCAACACTTCAGCAGCGCTCGCCTCCTCTACTTCCTTCAACCCATCCCTGCTTGCCTGCTCTCCGTTCACCGGCGCTCCACTGCTCTCCTCTGCAGCTCCAGTCAACGCCTTGTTGGGCCCATCCGCACCTGCTCTCAACGCCTCGTTGCTCGCTTGCTCCATAAATCTCAGCTCGCTCGCCGCTACCACCACGCCACCAGGTAAGCCGCTCTTTGCATCAATTGAAACAAAGTGAATTAGGCACCGTTACTATCCTCACTGTTCCCCTTGTATAGAATGGGTATTTCTTCTCCTGCTCACCCTCTGAGTCTACTTTGGGCCTGTCCTTCCAATTTCCTTTTTCATTCAGTCTCTTTCGGTTTTTCTTCACCTTGTTCAGGTACGTCTGCAGCTGTTGGGGGACTGCCAGCAGCACGCCTCGCTCTCTCTTCCTCCGCCGCTGCCCACTCATCCGCTGCTCATGCTGCCCTGCCCGAGCTGACAACAGCAGCAGCAGCCGCAGCGATAGGGGCAGAAGAAGCAGCAGCGATAGACGATTGCACAGCAGCAGGAGGCGTGAGGTCACTGTTGCCTGCACTGGTATCTGCCAGCACGCTTGCACACTCTACTGCACCAACCGTTGCACCACCAACCACTGCAGCACCAGCAGGACCCATGGCGCTCGGGTTCGCTCCTCCCATGGGCCTTGCCCTGAGTGCGACTCTCGTGCGCCCACAGCCCGTGCTTATGACAGCACATGACAAGGGCTCCAGTCAAGACAGGACTTTGCCGCGTGTCACCGCCCCACCCCTGCCGTGTACTCCCAATGGCCCTGGTCTTCCGTGGCTTCTCGGCTCGATACCAGGGCCCAGGGGTCCTAGCACTTCCATGCTCCGCCCCACGTTTCTTGCCCCACTCCCTGCCAAAGCTGCTGCTGCTGCTGCTGCTGCTGCGTGTGCTCCTGCAGCCGCTATTGCCCCTGCCACTGGCACTGCTGCTGGCACTTTAGAGGGTAGCGCGGCTAGTGCTGGTGCGCATGCTCTTGCTCGAGCTGACCTCGGAGTTGGTGGTAGCACTGTAACCAAGGCGCGCACTGAGTTTGCTACTGGTTCTGCCACTGCTGCTGCGCCTGCGGGTGGTGCCGGCGCTGGTAGTACTGGTGCTGCTGGTTTTGGTGTTGCAGGTGTTGTTGGCTGTGCTGGTGGCCCAGACGCTGCTGCTGCTGATGGCGCTCGAGTGGATTTCTTCAAGCAGGGGTTCTTCAGCGCACTCCTCGCCTCGCCAGATGCTCCTCTGCAGAGCTCTGCAGTCCACAGGAACGACGCGGGCTGCGGTGTTGGACTAGGAGGAGGGCGAGGAGAAGAGAGAGCAGATGGGGAGGATGCAGAGGCGGAAGGAGAGGGTGAGGCAGAGGGAGGGCGCAGGGCGGGGGAGAAGGTGAGGGGGCAGGTGGAGGGATCGGGGGAGACAGGCAGGGAGGGCGAGGTTTGTTTGAGAGCAGCAGTAGCACCCGCTGCAGCAGCAGCAGGTGCAGGTACGGGTGCAGTAGCAGCAGCAAGAGCAGCAGAGCCCCCGCCCTTGATCGTGCTGCATTCACTGCACAAACCGCCTACGCCAGGGGGGGAGGTGAGAGGCGTGGCAGGTAGAGAGTCCGCCAAAGCACCTGCCACTGCGCGAGGCAAGGACGGCTCCCCTGCAGGCGCATCTGGGGGAGGTGGTGCGCCAGGCAGCGGGGGAAGCAGAACTGGAGGCGGAAGGGGGGCGAGTCTAGGGGGAACGGGGCGAGGCGAGGTGACTCAGCAGCTGCAGGCGCTGCAGGCACAGGACATGTGCGGCAATGGCTGTGGCAGCAGCAGCCGTGCTACCGACTACACTGCGCACAACCACCCTGTGGCACCGGTGCACGCAGGCACCCTTGCCAGTGCTGGCAGCAGCATGACCGGCGGACAGCTGGCGTCGTCCAATTGGTGGGGTAGCACCGGCACCGGCACAGGCATGGGCACAGGCATGGGCATGGGCGAAGGCATGGGAACAGGCATGGGCACAGGCATGGGCACAGGCATGGGCACAGGCATGGGTACAGGCATGGGTACAGGCATGGGTACAGGCATGGGCACAGGCATGGGCACAGGCATGGGCACAGTCATGGGCACAGGCATGGGCACAGGCATGGGCACGTGCATGGGGTCTGCTTGGGACAGCAGCTCGATGTTTGGGACAGCACCTGCCGGGCCAACCAGCACCACGCCTGGCATTGATGGCTTCACTGCTGCTGCTGCTGCTGCAGCTGCTGCTATGGCAGCTGCCGCTGCTGCCACTGCAGCCCCGTCCTCCTCCCACCCGTTCGCAGGGCTCCTTCCCAACCAGCCTGCCGCCCCTCATCCATTCGCCTCCCACTCCTTCTCCCACCCTCTGCAATTCCTCAACTTCCACCCCCCTCACGCTCTCAACCAGGACTTACAATCCCATGCTGACTCCCTGAACCCCCCATCCTCCTCGCTCATCCCCTTTCCATGCACGCTCCCTCCATTCGCCAGTCACATGCAGACTCAGCAGCAAATGCTGTCTCAGGGCCAGCAGCAGCAGAACCTGCCATCGCCGTTTCAGCACCTGCCGGCACATATAGCAGCCGCTGCTGCCGCTGCCACTGCCGCAGCAGCAGCCTCTGGCCTGCCCCCCCAGCACCCGCTAACCCAGTCCCTTGCTGCTGCTGCCGCCGCTGCTGCCGCCATGCCAGCAACCGCGCTGCCCTCACCTGGAACTTACCTGGGAAACCACCTGACCCAGACCCCCCAACTTAACCACCCACAGCACCTCTCCCACCCGTTTTTTGCGGCTGCGGCTGCAGCTGCTGCAGCCTTCCCTCACCTCTCCCCAGAAGCTGCTGCAGCGGCTGCGGCTGCGGCTGCTACAGCTGCTGCTACTGCCAACCTGCACATGTCAACTGGCATGTCCGCCCTTCCTCTTCCTACTCCCCCATCAACCCATTCTATGTTCTCGCATGACCTGCAAGGGACCAGCAGCGCAGGACCCCTGCCCCCAACCCCCACAGCAGCAGTGGCTTCAGTTCAAGCCATGCCCATCCTTCCTCACAACCCCTTCTCCTTATTCTCTGCAATCTCCCCTCCCCAGCCGTCCCTTGCTGGGCCGGGGGTCCTACACCCTGGCACACAGCCTGGGCACCTTGCTGACATGGCGGCGGGTGCATCCTTTCTGGCAGCAGGTGCGGGAGGGGATGGTGGGGTGGCGGGTTACCCCTGGCAGGGGCAGGGGGGGGGATTGCATTTCTCTGCAGCTTCAATGGCTGCGGCAGCGGCTGCTGCTGCAACAGCTGCATCAGGTGCTATGGGGTTGTGCGGAGGAGGAGAAGCAGGTGGGGGAAATGTGGGAGGTGGTGTTGGTCCAGGGGGAGGGGGGGTGCAGGTGGAGAGGAGGGTTGAGATGTATGATAGGAGGGAGGCAGCACTGAGCAAGTTCAGGCAAAAGCGTAAGGATAGGTGCTTTGAAAAGAAGATTCGGTACGTGAGCCGGAAGCGGCTCGCGGAAATGAGGCCAAGAGTAAAAGGGCAGTTCGTGAGGCAAACTGGTGGTGGAGCAGGTACTTCAGGGATGGGGAGGGATGAAGAAATGGAAGAAGACGAGGAGGAAGAGGAGGATGGAGATGGTGGTTATTAGCAAAAGTTGAGCTGAACCAACATTGTCTTGTATGACTCAAGAATGGATGCGTCCAGACTGACAACCTGGATATCAGCACGCTCTATTATTTTGTTGGCTTGCAATGATTTGCTTGTGAGTCTAACCCTCGTTTTATTAATCTGATGGATTTTGTGATTGCTGCTTTGTAACATTGTTCAACTGCCCTCCCTGTAAATTTTCGCTGATTGGCCCACGCGTTCGCCGTGCAAACCTCGCAAGCCAGCTTTCTTTCACACAACGAGTGGGTGTGGTTTCGCTGGGCCCTTCGCATCTGCCTCAAGTTCGCGGTCTCTTTCGCGACCACGTCATCGCTTCGCTGGCCCCATCTGCCTTCGTGGTCCGCACGTGCCTATGCTGCCGTTTCGCAGCGAGCGAAGATGTCTGCTCCTCGGCAATTGGTTGAGCCCTTCCCATCCTCGTTTGCGTGCAACTCGGTATCGCAAACCTCGGGCTTGCCTGGCTGCTGATTGGAGTGGGCCACAGAATCGCGGACGTCGGCAATTTCGAGGTGGAGATTCCGCTGCTTGTTCGAGACTCCCTTCCACCCATTCATACATTCCATTTCATCCCATTCTTGTACTTGCGTTCTATTGTCTTCCATTTCCAGTCCAAGTAGCATTCAGCTCTGTCTTCATTCCTCATCACATCAGTCTTCGGAGCATCGCATTCCTCGATTCTCAAGGGACTGACATTCGGAACGCCTTGGCACGGGAGTACTTGCTTCCTCTAGAAGTCCCCTGTGGCGGAATCTGGTAGACAGAGGCACCGCAGTACTGATGAGAAGCGTGTCCGAAGTCGTATTCTCTGGCCACAACGGCACGAGCACGATACACCACCAGGAAAATTTCGAGTAAACTCGCGAAGAGCTGGATAGCTAAGACTTGATCAGACGTCCTGCCGGCATTAGTTAGTCACCCAACCTTCAGAGTTGGTTCAGTCCACAATCGCCTCGCCTCGGCGTGGTTGCCTGCAGCGAATCAGCGCTCCTCCCGCTCCTTGACATGGCTCTCTCACTGTCGGATATTCCCTTCGCCTCTCGCGCGACAGGAACCGCCATTCCGGATTCAGTAACGCTCGGCCACGCGTCTCGCGTCGACATTCGCCTTGATGCCGCGTCTCTCTCTCTCACCCCGTCCGCGAGGCGCCTTCGCTTCTCTCGGCTCTCTGCTGGTCAGGCCACGCTCCGTTTCAAGCCTCTCCGCCATGCGAACGGTAGCGGTGCGCGCGCGGAGACCGCTTCCGTCAACTCCGTCGCTTCTGTCCACTCCGTCGATAGCTCCTTATCAACAGCACTTTTCGAATTTCAGTTTCCGTCACCGCCTCCCGTGTCGCCGTCTGCATCTGAAAGCGGCAACAAACGAGGTGCGAAGAAGAACAGACAAAGGGGTAGAAGGAGAATTGTCGACGAGGCTCTTCAGATTGAGCAAAGCACCGTCCGGGAAGGCGGAGTCAGGCCGACGAATCTAAGCTCTTCCGAACCGTCCGATGCGGCGTTTATCGCGGCGCTCACATCGCTAGCAGCTACTCCAGAAAATGCGCGAAAGAACGTGGAGGAACGCGAGCAAGGGAATGATGCGCATATTAGCAGCTCCGATGCCAATCTAGCGGCTCTTCTCGGGAATGATAGTGCGTGGAAAACTGGGCTCGCTGGGGGCAATTTGTTCCCCGAATCTGGTTCGTCGTCAGAGTTCGTCGCCCGTGCCAGTGAACCTGGTTCGGCTGGTGCGGCTGACGTTTCCGGCGCGGGGAGGGCGCCGCAGAATGCGGGTGATCCGTATGGGAAGAGAGTGCTCGGGCGAGCCGTGGTGCAGTGGATGGCGCGCGGGATTGCGCGGATGGCGCAGTACGTGGCGGAGCGGGAGGCGCGCGGAGAGGAGGGCTTGGAGGGGGTGACGGTAGGCGGAAGCATGGCGGTAGTGGCTCTGGCGCAGGATTACCTGCAGAGGTGAGCGATGCCACAGGGCTGAACTGAGTACCCTGTGCTCGTTACTTACCCTTGATGTTCAATTGTTGCACTCATAATGGATGGAATGGAAGCGAGTCACTGTTGCGTCTCTTTGATTATTTACCCCCCTTCTCCCTTTCGTCTGTCTTCCTTCCTAACAGGGAACCAATGCCAGATGGCGAGCAGCAGCGGTGCCACGTGGCAATGTATCATTACCCCGCGGTCCTGGACCACCTTCAGCGGGAGCTTCAGGCGGAGCTCAAGAGACGACATGCACAGCAGGAGGAGCAGGACAAGCCTTCTGCCGCTGGTGTTGGTGCTGCTAACTCTATTGCTTCTACTGCTGCTGCGGCTGCTGTGAAAGCATGGAATGAGAGTGCTTCGTGGAACCTTCTGAAACAGCTTATGCGATCTGGCGAGCACAGGGCTACCATCCGCCAGCCAATCAGCTCTCTCGCCACTTCCGCCACTGCCTCCCAGACGCGTCAGACAAACCTCGCCGCCCTCCTCTCCCCCTCCGCACTGCAAGCCGCCCAGCAGCGAATCAACGCCTACGTGGCAACGGCCACGGAGCTCCTCCAATTGGAGCGAGACGCTGAGCTGGACGCGGTCGCTGCTGAGGTCAGCAACACGCAGCCAACCCCCCCCTCCGATCGCCCAGACCCGGAAGCCATGAGCGCGAGTGCAAGAGAGAGGAGGAGGCGGAAGGAGCGAGGAGAGGTAGAGCGAGGGCTAGCGAGAGAGGGAGGTACCCTGACGGACTTAGTCGCTGTGGGAACGTCTACTGGGCTCTCCGGCGTGCATCTCATCACCCTCGCTTCCCCCAGCGCGGGTCTTCTGTCTGCCTCCACTCTCTCCCCTGGCGACGCCATATGTCTCTCCCCTGATTGGTCCAAATGCAGCCGCATCGGCAGTGGGAGCAAGGCTGAAGCACGTGCTGCTGCAGGAGCAATGGTGGCCGCTGTGTGCTACAGAGGGTATGTGCACGAGATGGGGGAGGATGGTCAGAGCCTCGTTGTTGCACTGGACGGGAAGCTTGGTGTGGGCAGCAGCAGCGGCACACGCAGTGGAGGGAGCACAAGTGGGTCGGAGAGTGAAGGGGAGGGCGGGAACAGTGGCAGCGGCAGTGGGCGAGGGGCGTCGTCGCCGCTGTATCTGCAGGAGCTGTTTGGCGTGGCGCTCAGAGTGCAGCGCATGTCGGGACTCGTGGACTTCACAACGTTCGAGGTGAGTCTCCTTTTGAGGCGCCTCAAGAGTTGAGAGCCTCGTGTGTGCTGCTGCCGTTCTCAAGGCTGCCAGCATCATCTGCTCCTTGCCTCGACCTCACTAGCGCCTCACTAGCCCCTCACTCACTTCGTGCTTTTTTTCTCCATTCCGTCGCACATCTTCCCACTCATGTCTCTGTCCCCCTCGTCTCTAATGCCCGCGCCCATCCCTCCCGCCCACCCCCCGTCGCCCCCTGGCAGCGCAATCGCGAGGCACTGGAGCGACTCAAAACGACCGCACTCAAGCCCAAGAGCCCTGCTCGCGCCGTGGCCTCCGCCCTCTTCGCTCCCCCCCGTGCTGCTGCCCCTGCATCAGCCACACCACCAGCATCAGCTGGAGCGTCTGGGATTTCAGCAGACAGCACGCCACCAGCACTATCACCCGCCTCCCTGTCCTCCTCCCCGCCCTCCTCACCGTCCCCCTCCCCGTCCGCCTCTTCCTCCCATCTTTCGCCCTCCTCCCTCTCCTTCGACCCCAGTCAGCTAGCGGCCATTCAACTCGCTCTGGACCCTGCCCGCCCCGTGGTGGCCATCCAGGGCCCCCCAGGCACCGGCAAGACGTCCGTTGTCACTGAAATCATCAGCAGGGCAGTCAGAGAGGGGCGCCAAAGGGAGAGCACAGAGGAAGCGGAGAAGGAAGATAATGACAAGGAGGAGGATGACAGGGAGGAGGAGGGGGAGCTGGAAGGTGCTAGGGGAGTGGACACTGTGAAGGAAGCACGGGAGGGTGCGAGGGCAAGGAAGCAGCAGCGAACAAGGAAGCATCGGGTGCTGGTGTCAGCTCCCACCAACGCCGCACTGGACGTGCTCGTGGAGCGACTGGCCTCTCAAGGCCTGGCAGTTGCACGAGTGGGCAACCCCATGCGCCTCTCCCCTGCCGTCACCCCCTATTCCCTGGACCACCTCGTGGCAGCCCGCCTGCGCTCCTTCCACCGCGACGTCGCCCGGCGCCGCCGCGACCTGCGCTCCGACCTCCGCGCCGTCGGCTCCGACTCGGCCCTGCGCTCCGCGCTGCAGAAGATGCTGCGGCGCCTGGCACGCGTGGAGAAGCAGCGGGAGAAGGAGGAGGTTGCGCAGGTGCTGGGGGAAGCAGAGGTGATTCTGTGCACCACCACGGGGGCCGGGGAGAGGGTCGTGCAGGAGATGGCGAGGCAGGAGGGCGGGTTCGACCTGGTGGTCCTGGATGAGGCAGGACAAGCCACCGAGCCGTCCAGCTGGATTCCTTCACTGCTGGGGAGACGAGCTGTGGTGGCAGGGGATCCGTGGCAGTTGGCTCCTACAGTTCAGTCTGTGGACGCGCAGCAGCGTGGGCTGGGCGTTTCGCTCATGGAGAGGATTCAGGCGGAGGGGCTGCTGGGGAGTGGAGGGGGAGAGGGGGTGGTGGAGAGCGGTGGAGAAAGGTGGGGAGGTAGTGTTGCGATGCTGCGAGTGCAGTACCGCATGCATAAAGCCATCTCGGATTGGAGCTCTGAGGAGATGTACCACGGCCAGCTCATGGCCTCGCCTGCTGTCGCCACCCGCACCCTGGCTGACATCACACTGTCTCCTCCTGCTGCTGGCTTCATCTCTTCAGCATCCTCCTCCTCCTCCTCCTCCTCCTCCTCCTCCTCCTCCTCCTCCTCCTCCTCCTCCTCCTCCTCCTCCTCCTCCTCCTCCTCCTCCTCCTCCCCCTCCTCCCACTCCCTTCCACCTCTCCTGGCCCATCCCATGCTTCTGATAGACACGCGCTCCCCTCGCGGTCTGCTGCATGCGCATTGTGAGGAGGCCCCTGATGCAACAGGCACGGGGTCGCTGGTCAACGAGGGTGAGGCCGATCTGGTCGTGGATCACGTCGCTCGTCTGCTTGCGGCCGGCGTGCCGCCCGGGTCCATCGCGGTGCAGTCGCCGTACCTCGCCCAGGTGCAGCTCATCCGCCAGTGCCTGGAGGAGCGCCTGGGCGGCGTCGTTTGGCCGTATGCTGCGGCGAGGGAGGCTGGGGAGGGAGAGGAGGGAGGGGAAGGAGGGGGTGGGGGGGAGTGGGATGTGGGGGCGGTGGAGGTGGCGAGTGTGGACAGCTTTCAGGGGAGGGAGGCGGATGCTGTCATTATCTCCATGGTAAGTTCTCCCCTTCTGCACACAAGCATGCTTTTTTGGTGTGAGAAAGTGGTGGGGTCATGCTGATACCAAACATGTGAGTCTGTCTGGGTCAGATGCAACAGGAAATGGACTGTGCATTGTCTCACACCGCATTCTCTCCTCTTCCCTTGGCATCAACCCTTGCAGGTTCGGTCCAATCCATATGGTTCAGTTGGTTTCCTCGGGGACCGTCGCAGAATGAATGTAGCGGTGACACGTGGCAGGCGCCACGTGGCAGTCGTTGCTGACTCAGCAACTGTGGGCCACAACTCTTTCCTCCGCCGCCTGCTCCTCCACATCCGCTCAGTGGGTAGAGTGGTTGGTGCCCACGAACCGGATCTTGATGATTCTACACATGCCACATCAGTTACACATGCCACATCAGCTACACCTGCCACGTCAGCAGCAGCGGGGCAAGTCTATGTACCGCGTACTTTCTCCCCGCCATCTCTGGCAGCATCATTTGAGCCCGTGTACTCGTCTGGGCGTGCTTTGAGCCAGTCTCTCTCAGCTGTTGCCGTTGCAGCATCGCCTACCGGCTTGCCAGACAGTTACAGTGGGGCTTTGTCTGCTCCTCCACCCAAATCTGGAGCATCAGCCAACCCCAGCTCCATGGCCAAATCGCGAGCTGGGCCCTTGGGCCCTCGGGTCGTAGCTCGTCTTAGGAAGGGTTGACGTGAATAATAATAATATTCAATGAGCTGGTACAGAAATTTGTATATTGTTGCTGCTGTTAAATTTAAATTTAAGGTACGGTATGAGTTCCGTTACATACCTGCCTTATATTCTGTGCAGAGATTCACTATTGCTGGAATGTACCGGTAAAACCTATCCAACACCAATCAACATTCTCTGGCCCACGCTTCCCCACACTCTGCGCTGTCAGTGCGCACGGGCTCAGCAAAATTCGGCCCCGCGCTGCGGCCTCGTCACCGCTCGCATGGGATTGGTGGTGACTGGGATTTCACCATGGCTGCTGCATTCACATTTCCTTTCTTCATGGTAGCTGTGCTTGTTGTACAAGCAATAATAAAGTTGGTAGAACAGTTGTCACATGGCCGTGGCCATCGTATGCCCGGCTGCTCTTAGTAGTTTCTCGCGTCATCCCTCTAATTCTGTTACCATCGCCTCATCCTGTTTCCTCGCACGCCCCTCTGGTGACACTCCTCGCTTCCACCTCGCTTCCAAAACTGTATTTCTTGGGTTTTCGCCAAAAAAAAGTGACAACGGTCTAATAAATACGGTGACCAATTAGTTTCACAATAACCCATCCTTCATCGAGTGTACATTGTTGTAACCGTGTAACTTTAGCGATACCGTCGCAACGACACAATGCCGACGAGGCTCGACCTCCCAGCGCTGCACGGCCGCAGCAGCAGCAGCATTGACGAGCCTCCACAACGTCCGTGGGTCGAAGTTTTGGCGGGAAGGAAGATTCGTCGCGTTATGGACGACCCCGTTAAACTCGACGCGTTCCTGTCCAGCGAGTTCGACCGGCTTGACGTGCACGCACGTGGCAGGCTCTCATTGGTCGAGATCAAGCCGGCGCTGCTGCGCTTGGCGGAGATTCAGGGGCTCATTCTCCGCCCCTTCTGGGACAGCCGCATGGGGGGGCGCGGAGGCGGAAGCGGCGGAGGGGGCGCAGGCGCGGGGGAGAGGCGGAGAGGCGGAAGCCGAGGGGGAAGCGGAGGAAGCGGAAGCTGGGGTAGCAGCGGCGATTGCGGGGGAGGAAGAAGCGGGGCGGGAGGGGGAGGGAGGGAGGTCTTACCTGGCAAGGGGAAGAACGATGATGATCTGGTCAAGGGCCTTTTTGTCTCTTTCATGTCTGCTGACCTCAGCAGCGAGATTGGGCGGCACAAGTTTGTCAGTGTCTGCAGAGATGTGATTCTCGCATCGCAGGATGCAGTCGAAGGTACGCGCTCTCTTATCCCTTCTCCGCCTTTCATCTTTCTCTCTTTCCGCCTCGTGATAAAAGTTGAGCTTTGAGGCGTCTCAAATCTTGCATCCCAGAATGCAGTCGAAGGTACGCGCACTCTTATCCCTTCTCCACCTCCAACTTTTTCCCTTTCCGCCTTTCCCTCCTCGGTTTCTCCACCTTCCGCTGCGCCCCTTCCCCGCCCCTCGCTGCATTGCTCCTGGTTCCCAGACGGTCCATCACGCTAGTTGCTGCAGGGGAGCAGTGCGTTCAGGGGGCCATCACTCTCCTCCTGCATCCACTGGGGCGTGTGTTAGGGATGCTGGCGAGGGAGGTCTGCTTACACACGCCCCTGCTCCTCATTCTTCTGCACCCCGTTTCCCCTCACCCCACCCTCCCTCAACCCCCCGGCCTCCGCCTCCCCTGCGGCCCTTCTCTCCCTCTTTTCCCCGCTCTCCCCTGTTCCGCGCGAGCAGAGGATCCCCTACCGCGGCGATTGCAAGGCAGCAGCGCGCTGAGGGATCTGTTCGTGGATGCGGACAAAGTGGGCGAGTTCATTTCATAGACGCGATCTTACTGCTATCCCTCGCCGCCCATGTCCCACCCTTCTCAGAGGATCCCCTACCGCGGCTATTGCAGGGCAGGCAGCAGCGCGCCGAGGGAGCTGCTCGCAGACGCGGACGAGGTGGGCGCAGTCATACACGCGCTGTGGACTCATCTCACCGCATTTCCATCCACTGCACCCCTCCTAACCCCCCTGCCTCCGCTGTCCCCTCCACCCTGCGAGCAGAGGACCCGCTACCCCGGCTACTGGAGGGCAGCACCGCGCTGATGGAACTCTTTAACGACGCGGACGAGGTGGACGAGTTCATAGACGCGCTGTGGACGCGCATGGACCTGGACGGGGACGGCACCGTGACCATGCACGAGATTCGCCCCATGCTGCCCGCGCTCGGGCTCTTCCCCCAGCCGCTGCCCATCTCCACCGGTGAGTTGGCTCGTGCCTGTGTGTGCTGTGTGGTGGGAAGGGTTGTCCCCGTGATGCACCACGTGTCTCAGTGCTTCTCCCCAGCTCTACCTCTCATGCTCCTTCTCTCCTCCCCTGCTCCCCGCGCCCCTCTCTCCTCCCCACAATCATCCCCGCTTCCCTCACCCCTCGTCCCGCTCCCCTCATCCCCTCTCTCTGCGCCAGAGCAGGAGGATGAGATCCTGGCAGAGCTGCTGCACACATACGCTGGATGGGGAGGGGGTGTCCACTCCACGCCCATGTCCCCTGCTCCCTTCTCCCCTCACCCCTCATCCCGCTTCCCTCTCCCCTCATCCCGCTCCCCTCACCCTTCATCCCACTCCCCTCTCCCCGCGCCAGAGCAGGAGGATGAGATCCTGACAGAGCTGCTGCAGACATACGCGGGATGGGGAGGGGCGGAGGGGGAGAATGGGGGAGAGGAAGGCGGAGGGCAGGAAGGAGAGAGAGAGTCAGCAGGGGAGTGTTTAGAAGCGGCAGGATGGGATGGCAGTGGGAGCAACACAGGTGATGGTACGGGGCAAGGGAGCAGCAGGGGCGGCACCAACAGCAGCGGAGGCTTAGAGGGCAGCAGCAGCTGCAGCAACGGTGGTGATGGTGGCGGTGGTGGAGGAGGAGGAGGAGGAGGAGGAGGAGGAGGAGGAGGAGGAGGAGGAGGAGGAGGAGGAGGAGGAGGAGGAGGAGGAGGAGGAGGAGGAGGAGGAGGAGGAGGAGGAGGAGCAGTGGATTTCAGCCTGGGCCTATCAAAGGTGCAGTGCATGTGGCTGGTGGCGGATATTCTCTTCACCGTGGCACAGGGGCTCGAGGACGACCCACTGTATCTGCCCGCCAACATGACCATTCTCAACCGCCCCTTCCTCCTCAAGGTGCGCCCCTTCCTGCTCAAGGTGCGCCCCTTGCTGCTTAAGTTGCGCCCTGCACGTATGGGACGTGAACGCTGAGTATGGTCCCCCCCGCAACCCCTCCACTTCACCAGATTCTCTCAGACGAGTCCTTCGTCCACCACCTCTCTGCCCGCATGTTCCTCTCCTGGGACTCCACCGACTGCTTTCCATCTCTCTCACCCATTCTTCTCCCTCACCACATCCTTTGTCCTCACCTTTTCCAAGCAGCTTCTCTCAGACGAGTCCTTCGTCCACCACCTCTCTGCCCGCAACCCCCCCACCTCACCTCTCCTGGGACTGCACCGACTGCTTTCCATCTCGCCCATTCTTCTTCCTCTTTCCACCCTTCTATCGCATCCATCCTTCTCCCCCCGCAACCCCTCCACTTCACCAGATTCTCTCAGACGAGGCCTTCTTCCACCGTCTTACCGATCGCATGTTCCTCACCTCACCACAGCATGCTCTCTTAGGCCAAGTGCTCAGCTCAACCATGTTCCCCTCGCCCCAATGCCCCCACTCTTCTCCCCCATCCAGATTCTCTCAGACGAGGCCTTCTTCCACCGTCTCACAGACCGCATGTTCCTCACATGGGACGAAACCGATCGCGGAATGCTCTCCCGCTCCGAGGTCGTCGCCGGCTTCTACTCCCTGGGGGTCGCATACGGCCTCCCCGCAGTTACCACGCGGGAGGAAGCCGATAGCATCTACCTCTCGCTCTTCCTCACAGCCGACTGTGACACGAGTGGGTTTGTGGACCGGGAGGAGTTTCAGTCGCTTATGCACTCCATCTTTCTGGGGGCGGCACTTCAGCTGCAGGCCACGCGGTTACCGCCACCATTGCCGTCGCCACTGGCACCGTTACAGGCTGATCCTGCCGGGACCTCCTCGTTCTCTTCCTTGTCTTTTTTCCGCCCGTTCTCCTTGTCCCTCCCCTCTATCCCATTCTCCGCCGCCCTTCCCTGGGGAAGCTGTGCTGACAGCAGCAGCAGCACAGCTTTTCACAGCAGTGGGAGCAGCAGTGGCAGGGGAACCGGTGCCGACCCTGCTGCTGCTGCTACAGTGGCCGATCTGCCGACCCTGACCGGCTTCAAGCTCTTTGACGGGCGGCGCGTGCGCAAGATGGTGCGCGCGGACGGCGGGGCTTGTCTGGACGTGTGGCTGAACAGTGCCTTTGAGGAATTTGTTTCAAGCACATCGGATAGTGGAGATAGGGTGGGCGGGGGAGGGAAGCAGGTGAGGGTTTCGGGTTCGAGGAGTGGAGAGGCGGAGGGGATTGATATGGAGGGTCTCACGTTGTACAGTCCTGGTGGGGGGAGAGAAAAAAGGGAGAGTGGGGAAGGTGGGAGAGGGGAAGGAGAGAGGGAGGAAGGGTTGTCTGAGGGGCTTCGCAATGGGGGTTGCAAGAAAGTCTCATGGGGCGATGCTCGTGCTCTAGGAAATAGCTTGGAAGCGTATGCAGATAAGGACGATGTTAGCCGCCCGACAGACAGGCCCGTGGTGACGTGGGCGGCTTCGGAGCGGAAGCTAGTGCAGCAGCTGCACACGCTGGGGATGCCGGGGGAGGGCGTATCTGAGGACTGGGAGCACATTGTGCGTGATATGGTCGCGAGAGAGAGACGGGGGTTTGTAAGGGAGGAGAAGGAAGGGAGAGATGAAAAGGCGGAAGGAGAGGAGAAGACCGTGGGTGGTGAGGAGCAGGAGGAGGAGGCGGATGGGGAGGAGGAGAGGGAGAGCGAGGAGGTATGGCTGGATAAGGAGGAGTTTGTTGCGGTGATGACGAGACTGTTGAAGCAAGTGGGGCAGACGCTGCAAGGTGAGAGAGGGCGAGAGCTGAACTGGCCTGTGGGTAAAGTGGGTGTGGGTGGAAGAAGGCAGGAAGATTTCTTCCAGGGTAGTTAAATAATCTTAGCCGTTTTACCGTATAGTCGAACCCAATCCCCGACCCCAGTCGCAACCCCAATCCCAACCCCACCCCATTCCATTCTTCCACCCTTGCTGTTCACACCCCTTTGATGCCACCCCACACACCTTCGTGCCACCCCCCACCAGACACCCCTTTGCTGCTGCGCTCACTGGATGGCACTCTCATAAGGGCTTTCCTGCAGTGTGTTTCCAGGTGGCTGGTATATGTTTTCACACCCCTTCAATGCCTCTGCATGCCATCCCCCACCCCACCAGACACCCTTCTGCTGCTGCGCTCACTGGACGGCACTCTCATAAGGCCCTCTCTGCAGGGCTCTTCTTGTCACCTCTAACATATTATCACACGCCTTTATGCCACTCCCCACCCCCCCCAACCACCAGACACCCCTCTGCTGCTGCGCTCACTGGATGGCACTCTCATAAGGGCTTTCCTGCAGTGTGTTTCCAGGTGGCTGATATTTGTTTTCACACCCCTTCAATGCCTCTGCATGCCATCCCCCGCCAGACACCCCTCTGCTGCTGCGATCACTGGTCGGCACTCTCATAAGGGCTTTCCTGCATCATCTTTCCAGGCTCCTAAAACTTCCTCACCCCTTCATGCCACTCCACACCCCTTCATACCCTCCTCCACCAGACACCCCTCTGCTGCTGCGCTCACTGGATGGCACTCTCATAAGGGCGTTCCTGCAGCATCCTGCCCGCCTCACCACTGCCATCCGCAGCACCTTCCAGGCACTAGACAACAAGGGTTGGGGCGGCATGCCTGCCGCCCGCCTCGTTCCTGCGCTGCGTGTGATTGGCCTGTCTGCAGGGCTGCCGTGCCGAGGAGGTGAGCGGAGTGTGAATTAATGCAATGTGCAATAATTTGCTGGCATCGTCCTTATACTCATACTCATACTCATCGTCCTTATGCACTTCCAATTCCTCATACTCATTACTTTCGTACAAGTCATTGTTACTCTTGTTTTTTATCACTTCTTAATATCTCCCAACACTCCCTTGGTGTTCACTGAGTGGCCCTCACTACTGTGCTTGATGTTCCCATCCCGGACTTGGCAGTGAACACTACACTTGACATTTGGATATTGCAACTCACAACAGAGCTCGCACCCGATCTTCAACATTTATCGAACGAACAATTCTCTTCATTTGTCGTGGAATTTCTTGAAGCCCTTTCTGCCCGGCTAGCAGCCGACCCTATTTATGTTCTGCATGACCTAGATGCGCCACAACGAGCTGTTGGATTGCCGAAGCCACCTGCTCCATCTCCACGTATAGCATGAATTAATCTATAGCATACATGCATGATAAACTGGCATTCTGAGCGCTTCTATACATATATAGTAGAATATACGAATCGATACACTTCTACACTCGGGCCCTGCCTACGGCGTAAGTCAACAATGCCATCCAAGCTCGAGGTTGCGGAGGTATGGTGGTCCGACGGACTCGCCTGCGCTGACCTGGAAGGACAATATTGATCGGTATGGAAAAGTGCCGAACCACTCTAGTCCGCTTTGGTTGGCCTGGATGCCTTTTCTGGCGGTCAGTCCGACCAACTCCACAGTTGTGACAATAGAAAAGTAGATTAGCATGGACGAGCGCAGCGGTGGTTCCAGTGTCACCATCTCTTCGCTTCTCATGCCTCTCCTTCCGAATCGGGCCTTCATTCAAGAGCTGGATTCGACGATTTTTTTTCGCGGCACATTTCGCGCTTCCACGTTCTTCCTTGAAACATGGCGATCGCGTTCCGACTACACTCTTCAATCCACATTCTCTTCCTCCTGGTAGCATCAGCTGTACTCGTTATAACCAGCGTCGACGCGCAGCAAGGATGCGGAGGGAGCTGCAGGAGCGACGACGACTGCAGAGGGCGACTGGCGTGCATGAGCGGCGAGTGCGGCGATGACCCCGCCGTGGGAACCACCATCTGCAAGCCGCAGTGGGGGGGAATGTGCAGGCCGTCGGGAAGCTTCCGGGCTCCTGCGTTCGTCCCCTGTGATTCGGATAATATGTGAGACGCCATGCTCTGCTTCGCAACACCGCACATGTATGATTTTGTTTCATGCCAGAACATGCATTCTGTACTGTAACTTCTCTGTGCATATAATATAAAAGACCCCTAATCATTGAAGTTTGTGTGTCCCATGTGCAGGTCCGACTGCTGCAAGCCCCTGGCCACGTACTACAAGTATACGTGCTCGCCACCTGTCAGCAATGCCACGTCAGCAATCCTAACTCAACGGATTTGGTGATGGTAATTACTAATCACCATACCCCCCTGTCAATCCATGAATCATGCCTGATGGATACACCCCAGTGGCAGTGGGAAACTAAGTGAGGCTCGCAATATTCTGGCCCCTTCTCCTCTCATCCTCCTCCCCCCACCCCCCCACCCCCAGCACCAATGTCTCCCTGTTTCCTTCAAATGAATTATGAATTCTCCCCTCGTTCTCACCTTTCTCACTCCTTTTGACTCGACGCCAGGCGAGGACGGAGGGGGGGAGTCATCCTGTGACGGTCGGTTCCACAGCAACACCGAGAGGGTCTTTGCTCTCTCCACCGGCTGGTTTGCCAACCGGAGGCGCTGTGGCCGTCAGATCCGAATCTCTGCATCCAACGGCCGCAGCGTGCTCGCGACGGTGGTGGATGAGTGTGACTCGCAGGCGGGGTGCGACCTCATGCACGCGGGGCAGCCTCCCTGCATCACCAATGATGTGGATGCTTCGGCTGCTGTGTGGCAAGCACTTGGGATTAGCCAATCGGATAGCAGATACGGATACATGAGGGTCACGTGGCAGGACGTGTGAGCTGAGTGCATGTGCTTGGACTGGGGGTCAGTTGCAATTGCAGGGATGGTAGCTAGCTGCTGCAGAACTGATGGCCTTCAGGAGCTGCCTCAGTACAATTGCAGTGTTGTGTGCTGCACATAGTGAGAGGAGGAAGTTCCTGAGGACTACAATGGCGAGTGGCATGATGTTTCATGGACTGAGCACCCCTTGTATGCTCTTATGGTCTCCTGCGCTATCAGCTCCTGGCAGAGGGGAGGTGAGGAATGTGACAGGGAACGGAACCGCCGGCTCCATCTCCCCGTGTAGCCTGAAGTAACCTGGCCAGTACGTATGATACACGATAATATGAATATTTACTGGTTGCGATTCCTTGTCGCTTTATACATTTTGTTTTTGTGCTGAACGATAACTACACTGGAAGCTTGCGTAAACAGCAGGGCAAAGTTTCATCCGAGGCCGACCTGGAAGAAGAACTTTGATTGCCTGGAAATTGCCGATGCCGAACCACTCCAGTGCAGTTTCGTTGGAAGCCTATCTGGCGTGTCAGAAAGAACCGACATTCACACCGACATGCGAAAAGGCGACACCTGTAGATGCATTTCGCACACCGTCGTCGTTAGACTATGTGTCGCGTCATCGCATCGCATGTTGGTCCTTGCATATGGTCAAGAATAAAGACCCTTCCCATTCTTGGTCGCCGAGAGTCACGCGTACCGCATGCCTACGTGGCCTTCTGAATCTTGAGCGTAGAAGGGCTGCTGCTAGTGATAGTAGTCATACAAATGGATGGGCGCAGGGGATAGTGGCCGCAATGTCTTAGCACCGTTAGAAACCACCGCCCTGCCTCTCACGCCGCTTCGTTACCTTTCCGCATCCAGTGTCACGTCGTGCGCTTCGTTACGAAGGTTTGTTTCTTAACGATGGTGACCTCGCCCCGCTGGCGCACCTCAGTCCACATTCTGCTCGTCCTAGTAGCATCATCCGTACTCTTTATAAGCAGCGTCGACGCGCTGCAAGGATGCGGAGGGAGCTGCAAGCGGCACAGCGACTGCAGCGGGCGACTGGCGTGCATGAGCGGCAAGTGCGGCGATGATCCCGCCGTGGGAACTCACATTTGCAAGTCACAAGGCGGGAGAACGTGCAAGCCGTCGGGAAGCTTCCGTGCTCCTGCGTTCGTCCCGTGTAACTCGGAGAATATGTGAGACGTTATGTTTCTCAGTGTTATATCGCACAATTGTGGGCGTTACATGTCATTTTTGTACAGTGATGTTTACTCTTTATACGTCGTAATAGGTTCCTTACATTGAAGCCTGTGAGTTCCATGCGCAGGTCCGACTGCTGCAAGCCACTGGCCAAGTACCACAAGTACACGTGCTCGCCACCTGTCAGCAATGCCACGTCAGCAATCCTGACGCTCAATGGATTTGGAGCTGGTAATCGATTATTACTGTGCCCTGTCAGTCCGTGAATCATGAGTTATGGATCCATTTCAAAGGGTGTGGGAAACCAGTGCACAATGCGTCCCGCTCCTGTGATGCTCGCAAGTCTCTGCCCCCTTCTCATCCCTTCATCCTCTCCCTACTCTCCCATCCTCAGGACCAATCTCTCCCTGTTTCCTTCCAAGGTCTCAATCCCCCCTCCCTTATTACGTTTCCCCCTTCCCCCCCTCTGACTCGAACGTCAGGCCAGGACGGAGGGGGCGAGTCATCCTGTGACGGTCGGTTCCACAGCAACACCGAGAGGGTCGTTGCTCTCTCCACCGGCTGGTTTGCCAATCGGAGGCGCTGCGGCCGTCAGATCCGAATCTCAGCATCCAACGGCCGTAGCGTGCTCGCGACGGTGGTGGACGAGTGTGACTCGCGGGCAGGATGCGACCGCGTGCATGCAGGGCAGCCTCCCTGCATCATTAATGACGTTGACGCTTCAGCTGCTGTGTGGCAAGCGCTTGGGATAGGCCAATCGGATAGTAGATATGGATACATGAAGGTCACATGGCAGGACGTGTGACCTGCGCTGTGTCTGTGTGCTCGAGCTGCCACAGAGTTGCAAGGTTGGTAACTACCGGTTGGTAGTAGGTAGTTCAGTGAGAAATGGAAAATGGGCTGGTACGGTATGGTGCTGTGATTGAGAACCAGGAAGAATAATACCTATGTTTTTCTTGCCTGAAAGCCGGCATGCAGCAACCGCCCATGTTAGGGATAGGGATAGTGCATACAGCAACGTCCCATGTTCAACCATTCCACAAATGTCTCTGCCTCAATACACTACAATACACCACCAATATAAACAGGTTTTTGTTCTAGCAAATAACGCATGTCATGCGGCAAAGCAGAGCAGCCAAGCACGGGTCAGAGCAGTGGTTTGGCCTCAGGATCAAGGTCGTCTTTATCATCCTTGGAGCCCCCTGAAGGCATCGTGCCCAGCCCTGTGTGCCCCTTGAGGGCCGCTGGGTTCTTGGCCAGCGTGACTCCTGTGGGGGAGTGTAGCGCAGGCGCACAGTAGAGCAGGGATGACAAGCGTGACAGGAAGGAAAACAGAGAGGAATGGCAAAGGAATACAGGCATGTGGTGGTAACGAGCTCCATGCTGCAGAGAGGCGTGTGTGGCCCTTGAGAGCCGTGTCAGAATCTAGCAGAAGGAGTGAATGAACAATCAAAGAGTTGGGTACAAGTATGAAACCCTAAAAGGGGCTGTACCCCATATTGGCTACCCCACTACAGCCTACACATATATAACATGCACATACTTTGACACACCCCCATAGGCAAAGTGGGGGAGAGCAAAGGGTCACAAGACCAGTCAAGAGAAGCAAAGTAAGCTCAGGGTGGATCACAACGTCACCACACACACTGAGCACAAGCAAAGGGCCACAAGGCCAGTTCACATGCAGAGGTATATATGCAACAACAACAGCACAGTGATCTCTACCTAGCAGAGCAAGCAGGCAGGTATATATATAGATCACAGTACAAGCAAAGTCTACAGCAAGTGAGGAAACGTGGGCACAAGGCCTAACAGAGTGCAGAAACGCTGATGATCACCAGACGGAAGCGCCTTGGTGAATATATCAGCAGTGTTGGCCCGAGTGGCCACGTGAGCAAGACGAAGCTGACCACGCTGCTGCAACTCTCGAGCCAGGAAGTAACGCAGAGCGATGTGCTTCGTTCTGTGCTCCAGTCTGTGCTCCTGATACAAGGCAATGGCGGCCTTGTTGTCGACGTACAGCACTGTAGGAGAACGAGGCCGCTCTCCCAAGTCGGTCAGCAGGTAGGTGAGCCAGCGTAACTCCTGTGCAGCCATGGCTGTGGCGTAGATCTCAGCCTCACAACTGGAGCTGAGAACTGAAGACGAGCGTGTAGAACGCCAAGAAACCGAACCAGAGCCAAGGCTGAAGGTGTAACCCTGTGACGACCGCTGCGTAGCCTGGTCGTCAACCCAAGCGTCTGAGTGCCCAGTGAGGACAACGTCGCTCCGTCCTCCAAGCACGAGCCCCATGCCCGATGTACTGCACAAGTAGCGTAGTACCCTCTTAGCAGCATCCATGTGCACCTTTCGGTGCCGACCAGGAGCCACATAGCGAGCCAGAAGGCCAAGAGGGTACGCAAGGTCAGGACGAGTGCAGGTCATTAGGTACATGAGGCAGCCCACTAGCTCTGGGTAAGGACCACTCGGCTCTACGGACTCGTCCGAAGGTGGAGCTGAGAGCGAGTGACCTGTAGCCAGAGGAGTGGCCTGTGCCGAGGACCAGGTGAAGCCGAAGCGCTGAAGGACCTGCTGCAACATGTGTGACTGAGTCAGTGTGATTGTTCGGCGTGCTCTGTCCCGGGTGATCCGCAAGCCAAGATAGCTTGTCAGCTCACCCAGGCCTGTGCACGTGTGTCTCTTCTGCAGCTCCGACTTCACCAGGGCGAGAGCCTCAGTGTCAGCAGTGGCAAAGACCAAGTCGTCGACGTACACGAGGATGTAGAACGGCGGCAGTGAAGTGTCGGTGCGCAGAAACAGCGACGGGTCAGCAGTCGACGGAGAAAACCCAAGAGCCGCAAGTGTCGTCCTCAGTGTGTCGTGCCACTCATGCGGCGCCTGGCGGAGACCGTAGACCAGCCGCCGGAGGCTCCACTGGGTACCAGGAGGGAACGACCCAGTGAAGCCAGGTGGGCGGCGCAGCCAAATCTCCTCGTGCAGGCTGCCCTGTAAGAAAGCTGTGCTGAAGTCAAGAGAGTGAAGCTCGTAGTCACGCTGAGCGGCAACGTGCAGTAGCACCCAAAGAGTGGTCATCTTCGGGGTGGGGGAGAAGGTCTGGAAGAAGTCAACTCCCTCTCGCTGACTGAAACCTCGAGCAACGTAACGAGCCTTGAAGACAGGCGGAGAACCTGGCGGCCGCTTCACCCTGAAAATCCACATGCCACTGATGATGTTCGCCCCAGGAGGGGGAACCTCGTCGACGTAGGTGCCTGTGGACTTCCAGGATGCCATCTCTGCGTCCATGGCTGTCTGCCACTGAGAGGAGTACTCACCCGCGATCGCCTCAGTGTAAGAGCGCGGGGTCGGGATGTCTGGAGCATCCGGGTCTCCCTCAGGGGCAAGCAGCATGGACACGAGATGAGGTGCAGCGGCTGCAAAACACTCAAGGTCCTCGTGCCTGTCCTCAAGGACGTCCGTGCCAAGAGCACACTCACCCCCGACGGACGGAGGACAGACAGACTCAGACTCATCAGTTAAAGGAATTGGGAAAACATATGGTATCACTGTATGCCTACAGAGAAAATAATGCGTTGGTCGGTTCGGTCAGTATGCACGCTTGTGTGCAGGTACAAGGCGGAGCGTGAAACTCTGAAATCTCTCAGAATATGTGGATCGGAAAGGTTAGAACCTAGTGTTGTTGAAGTAGAAGTCCTAATCTAATGGACTGGCAAGAAATTGGTACTAACTGCATCTTTACAGACATAAGTGAAGCGCTGGTATGTTTGGTCGGTATGCGCGTCTGTAGTGCCGGTACAATGTACGACTGGAATGCCTGTA